TGCAAAGAACCATCAGTTCCTTCGATAAAAATTAGATTGTGATTATAGAGGTTTCAATGGCTGTGGCAATATTTAAAAGAAATTGATGTTTTGCGCCTAGAAGGAAAGAATTTGCTTGCACTTGTAAATTTACACTGAAATGTAAAAATAAAAGACTTAATAAATATTTCTGTATTTTATTTCTTTATATCTAAATAAACGTTAATAATGGTTTAAATTTATGTACGTGGTCACATTGTGAACACGTGCATAAGTTTAAACCAATAAAGATAAATTTTCAAAGTTCTGAGAGGATTTTTTACAGCCACTGGCTACTAGGCTGAAACAAATAAATACCTTTGCCTTAGATAAATTTCAAAACGTAAATGTCACTTTCAATTTTTGAGGCTCGCTATAGAGCAATTTTTTAGTATGGAAGATTGTCGTCTGTACGTTAGTACTCTTATTAGTTTGTGGTTCAAACTCGGGGCGTACACCCTCGCATCATGGTTATTTTCGTTTCACGTTTGATTTCAAAATAATAAATGAGTAAAGAATTAGTGTCGTGCAAGATATAAAAATGTGTTAATATGGTTTACTGTACTGTGTGTATGAATAATAAATGAAGTGAAAATAAAATAGGTTAAATGAAATTCAAGTAATGATAATAATAATATTTTTAACAAAAGTATTTCAATAAAAATATACGAATTGAAAACGTGTTATTAAAATATAAAAGAAACACTTTATTTTGTAACTAATTCTTTAAACTTAGGTTAGTTATATTATGTAATAAATTCTAATATTACATTATTTTTACTATACTTTTCAATCCCACCAATTTGCTTTAGTATCTGTGGTTGAGTTAACAAATAATTATAAACTTGTTCACACTTCATATCTACATATGTTACAAATAGTGCGGCCGCCCGTAACGTACGAATTGTAAAAGTGACGCGCGAATTTTAAAATATATGACCTTATCATGGAGCTTTAAAAACACAGAACGCTTCTTAAAAACTATCTAGTACATCCCAGGACACTACAAAAACTAGTACATGTCCGGGAAAAACAGGACGGTTGGCAATCCTAATGTACGTAAACCGCAGATAACACACGATTCACACAATATAATTATTCTCTAACTAAGCGGACGCGGCCCGAGCGTCGCTTACTGCTGTTATCGTAGTGTGCGTGAGAATTTGTATTGTTCACGCTCGGAGAGAAGCAAAGCAAGCGATATGAAACAGATAGCATTTTTGAAAATACCTACTCGCGCACTTCACAATTTTACAATTTTCTTAAGTTTATTCGTTAATAAGTAGTAATAAGTAAGTAAGTCCTATCTTTATTATAATGTCCACCTTTTTGTGGATAATCTGTATCGACAGTTGTTATAGCTATGGAGTGTAGAAGTAAGGAGCACAGACTGTGTATTAAAGTGTCCATGAAAACCTTCGATCCATTATATACTAGATTCCCGATAAGCGCTTCAAAACGACCAGAAAAATAAGGCCACAAACACTTCTGTGGTCCTATTTCAAATTAGTATAGTCCAATCATAGCCAACGTTAAAACGTCGAAACGCCGCAGTGCGCGTTCAATAACTGTGCAAATAACCACCGTAACTCCAAGATTTTGGAAGGAATATTTTTTTTTTCGGTAAGTTTATATCATTAATTTTTTTTTTTTCTTCTTTTGGCCTGTTTGCTCGCAACACTATTGTAACAAACATCGACTGTTCTTGAACAAATATGCATGGAGTAGTATTTTATTTAACAAAAACAGTAATATATATATATATATATATATATATATATATATATATATATATATATATATATATATATATATATATATTTGTTTGTAGATTTGCTAGGAACCCATTTCGCTGTGCAGAATGAGTATCTGTTGTCGCGAAAGAAAGATGAGAAGAACTATATATACAACCCATCTAAAAATTGGAGAATATGTTCGATTCATTTTGATAGATTGGACATAACTGGAAACACGCAAAGGCGTAGATTACTAAAAACAGCGGTTCCCAAATTGCAGGTAATTACCATAAAGTAGTTGTAATTAGAATTGTTAGTGTAAGATAATGCTTTTGGTAAAGAAGTAAGTTGTTTATGACTTTTTTAGATCCACAGATCAATAAAAGTGCAATCAGCTTTATGTTCAGAATGACGAAAAAGTTATCAAATCAGGTAATTAAAAAAATCTTTATCAGTTAAAAACTATACCTGTAGGCATTTTCATGAAATACTTTATAATTGTATTCAATAAACTTTAACTTTTGAAGATACCACAGAAATACGTGACGTACCTCGGGCTGATGTAGTTTACTTGAAGTCTACAGATGCATCATTATCAGATTTAACATCGATATGTGACATTCCTAGAAAGGGGTATTTAAAACAGAAATTGACGACCTTTCATTGAATACCTACTACTTAGTCCTACTACTTTTATAAATCGGTCAAAAATATTTGCCACCATACAAAACGACCCTTGCCCTAAAATATTTATATTCTGCAACTCTACGTCTTTCAATACTTACTGTGTTCCGAGCATTGAAATATAGTACCAAGAACTACGTCTACTACCAGATTAGAGTAAGCACGAAAATGTCAAAATAATGTTTAAACCTTATGACTTATGAGTTAATTAAAGTTTCATTTTAGAATAAATATTTTTGTACCTATGACTTTTTATTTTCAAGCGACATTCTAAACTTATTGCTTTTAACCTTTCTCTGATGAAAGGACTTAAATAAATATATTTTGCAATGGTGATTAAACTTTATGTTAGAGTGTTATTAAGGTTTATAATAAACTGAAGTTGTTAATGTTATGAAACTTTTTTCTAAGATAGATAGATGTTTATGTGTGTGAAACGTGGCCACTTGTGCGACTTATTTTTGTTCCGTCCTTAATCTAGTATATAATTGATCGAAGATGATTATATTACATTAAATAAGGGTGGCGCCACTATAGCTACGGGCTAAATTTTAAAGAACGTGCCGAAAAATGTTAGTAGGATAGACGACTTTTTCGAGGTTATATTTACTAAATAAAATTATTTTAGATTTCAGAGCTACTGATCAGTTTAGCAGCACACTTAAACCGGCGACAACTGCTAAGTTCATTTCATCCCAGTAGCTACTCCAGCGCTGTTGTGGAGAGTTTTTGAACTGTTATTTACTGCTTACAGATGACCAGTTTTTCAACTATTCTACTATGGGAGTTGGTAATCCTTACTTCTACACTCCATAGTTACAGCCACGGCTGTATACAACTTTTCAATGTAGTCGTGTCACTTCATTACACTCTTATTACACAGAGAGTACCCACCTATGTGTGTGTATGTGTGTGATATTGTTAATGTATTATTTTATTATGTGTGAGTTTTAGTGTCAGGACGATTATTTTTGTGTGGGAGTCTGAAAAAGGGTGCGTGGCGCAGATTTCCCCTCCCAAATTCCCAAAATACCAAATTATCCCCTCGCAAATAATGACAGGGTCTTCATTTCAAATGAAAACATTTGAAAGACTATAGGTGTAATCAATTAATTTATATGATTATCTGATCTTATCTGTTTTCATTTATAAATTAAAAAATATAACTACAAAAACACAAAACTAGTTAGTTACATATCCCTTCTTTTAGTGCCAAAACATTTGATATTTCTTGTTTAATAGTTGTTATCTATAAATAAAAATGAACAAGTGTTATTATCATTAACACTGGTGAATATTTTTTGATATAGTGCCTGTATAATGAAACAGTCATGGTCGACTTTTTTATCTTCATTTTCCTTTTTTTTAAAGGCACTATAGACCAGCTACACTATGATGTGTTGTTATAAAATATATTAAGGATCCTGCTTTTAAAATAATTGGTTTATTTTTCAGAATATGTTGATTTGACCATTGACCACTCTTATTACCAAAAGAAAAAACATGTAAACCACATTTGTGCTCAATCAATGGACAGCAACTCCTAGTTTCACCTGAATATATTAGAAGGTAAAACTTATTTACATACAATAGTACAGTACCATTTCCTAAATATGTGCCACTTACACTCCTAGTAATTATATACCTATAGCCCTATTACCCATGTTTGCGGAGGTGTTTGAAAAAGCCTCAGAGAGAAAAGTATCAGATTATAAGATTTTTTAGAAAAATATAATATTCTTGATGACAGCTAAAACGGCTTTAGAAAATCAAGATCAACTACACTATCAGTATATAAATATATCCAGACAAACGTGGCCACTTGTGCGACTTATTTTTGTTCCTGATCCTTAATCTAGTATATAATTGATCGAAGATGATTATATTACATTAAATAAGGGTGGCGCCACTATAGCTACGGGCTAAATTTTAAAGAACGTGCCGAAAAATGTTAGTAGGATAGACGACTTTTTCGAGGTTATATTTACTAAATAAAATTATTTTAGATTTCAGAGCTACTGACCAGTTTAGCAGTACACTTAAACCGGCGACAACTGCTAAGTTCATTTCATCCCAGTAGCTACTCCAGCGCTGTTGTGGAGAGTTTTAAGCTGTTATTTACTGCTTACAGATGACCAGTTTTTCAATTATTCTACTATGGGAGTTGGTAATCCTTACTTCTACACTCCATAGTTACAGCCACGGCTGTATGCAACTTTTCAATGTAGTCGTGTCACTTCATTACACTCTTATTACACAGAGAGTACCCACCTATGTGTGTGTGTGTGTGTGTGTGTGTGTGTGTGATATTGTTAATGTATTATTTATTATGTGTGAGTTTGTAGTGTCAGACGATTATTTTTGTGTGGGAGTCTGAAAAAGGATGCGTGGCGCAGATTTCCCCTCCCAAATTCCCAAAATTCCAAATTATCCCCTCGCAAATAATGACAGGGTTTGGTATCGGAAAATAACGCTTTGCTTTCTCCCTTCCTGTGTTGCTTGCTCTACGCAGACAGTGACGAGAGACGAAAACTAGAGAAGACTAAACCTAGCAGCACGTACCGTACGGTTGAGCGCCGGCAGCCTCTGCAGCACTCGGCTGCAAGCCGCGAAGTCGCTGCCGGCCGCCACGCAGGCGCCGTACAGAGCGTCCGGGATCAGCGGCTCGTACAGCTCCCGGTACCACAGCTTCAGCAGGCTGGCGGGCGCGTGCGCGTCTACAACAACACATATACACTGACAACTCTGCTGAATGCCTCGTTAATACAGTGCTTGTAAACGCGGTTGCTGATCCTGAGGGCTCGAGTTCGAATCCCGGATCGGGCCGAAATCAGTTGTTGGGTTTTTCTTTCAAGAAATTCTCGGTAACAGCTTGGTATCAGGAAGTGGGCGATGTTTCACCCCCGCGCCTCGGAAAACACGTTAAACCGTTGGTGCTGCGCCTGATCTCTCTCCGGTCGTGTTGAGCAACCGCCCCATCGAACTATGAGAGTGAGGGAATGCACTTGTGAGTGAGTGCACTTGTGCTTGTGCATACAATCGGGCTCTATAATCCTGACCTGCGCAAATGGCTACTGCGAGAATGTAAGCCTGTATAAGTCCCCAGCTTAATGGGCCCCCCCTGTTGTGAGGAGGATATTTGCCTTAATTGTGACAAATGAAAGAGGAATTGCTGATCGCAGTATCAGACAAGTCCCACATGTGACGCTGGTACGCTCTGGTCGGTCTCGTTATTTTACGTCTTTTGTTGTAATTACATTTATAAGCTCATTTACTGAGATGATATAAAGTAATATCCAATAATATAAGTTTTGCTAAAATTATTTTGTTTTGTGTTATACTAGGAACGAATAGCAAGCGTGAATTTAAGTGCGTGAATGATCTCATTTTTATTGTTCATTTGAAGTAAGCCAGGCTTAAATTTACTAACTCTCCGCATCTATTAGATGCTAAAAGCCACAATTTTTTTTCATCTTCTTAGTCACCACATCTTTCCTTACAACACTAGTGAGATTGCATTGCATATATAATTAATATTCGAAATTATATTTATAAAAAAATTATTTTAGTAAAATACTAACCGGTCAAGGTAGAGGCATCGGGCAACTCCCAGTTATCGATTTTGGCCTTGAGCGCGTTAACTTCGTCGACATCGGCCGACACACGAAAAATGCCCTCAGTCTCGCGGCCATTGAGCGCCAACACTTGCTGCGAGAGCGCCACTTGTACCCACGGCAGCTGGCGATTAGGAAAGCGCTCTTTTTGTAACGCCATCACCTCAGCCAGAGTGTTGCCGAACATCGACTGGCGGAAAATTTGGATCTGAATAGAAGAAAAGCAATATGAGATAAAGTTTCCTTGCACGGTTTTTTTGTTTATAGGAGAAGGAGAAAACGAGCATACAGCTCACCTGATGGTAAGTGATTACCGCCGTCCACGTACAACTGCAATACCAGGGGAATTACAAATGCGTTAACAGTGTAAGAGCCACGCGGCAGCCTTTGCTGTTGCACGTATGGGCCGGCTTGAACCGGGGTGGTACTACGATCTCACAAAAGAACAGCGTGAAGTAAAAGTTCTGCTTCTGCGTTTCGTCTGGTGAATGCAGGTGGCCCGATTCCCCCTCCCATTAACATGGTAGCGGAGTTAAATAAAACACTACCCCAAGAGGGTACCAGCACCCCTGATGACGGAGAATCCCTCGCTAAGCATCCACGCCAAAGCTACCCTATTCTTCCTGAGCATGGGTGCTCAGGCTACCCCGCATATTCTGGGGAAGAGGGGGGAGGGCGAAATTCCACACGAGACTAAACCTGCTGGGCAATAAGACAAAGGCGCCCCCTGGCAAGCTATCCGTGAATTTCTGCGACATTAGGAGACTTTATTTAAACCTTAACGCCGTCTACTACCCATCTGGAAACGGTGAAGCCGACCTTGCTCTTTCTAACCGAGGCACGGGTGTCCTCTCCTGGTGATACTTCGTACCTCTCCTACCCGGGGTACAAATGAGAACACTCTTTTGTGCCCTAGGCTGAAATTTGCATGTACATCAGAGAGGACATCTGTTTTCGACCCCTCGGCAGTCTTGAAGGTATGGATCTGTCCATCTTACGGCTGCCTCTATATCTCTCTCTTCTATATATGGGTGCCTCTATAGGTTCCATAGCGGCAATGCCGATACAGACCGACTCATCGACCACATCCAAATGGCTGCATACTTCGTGCTATAAAAGCAGAGATTGTGATGCTTGGTGACCACGCTGAATGGCTTGGTTCTCGTTTTACCGATCATGCGGGTAGATCTGTTTATGATTTTGCTTTGGCATATGGTCTAACATAACTGATCACCTCGCTTACGCAGATCCCAGATGTGGATATCAGGTCTCCGTCGATGCCCTTCTTGGCTTCTGGGACCATTGTCTGAACCGGAGTACGGTGACACTCACGCTCCCATCGCGGTTGCGTTCTGCAGGTTGCCGCCGTGTTTGGCATTATAAGGTCAGCCGGTTGGGACGGGATGCGATTTTTTTGCACCTAACCCTTGGAGGCGGGTTTGCTTCTCGCCGGATGATTCCACCGTCATTGCTGATTCTGTCGCTGATGTGGTGCTACAGGGAATTAATCTTTTTATTCCATCATCTGTGGTACCTATCAGAGGCAGAACCCAAGCATGGTTTGCTCTTCAAAATTACATTACGCCATAAGCAAAAGTGCTACCAGACCTAGGCTCACGCATCGACGTCCCGGGATGCAAATCCCAGCGCTCTTAAAAAGAAATATAATTACGCCTCCACGTCCTTCAAAAGTATCACTGTCAAGGCAAAATCAGAGCACATCGGCAGAATGAGCGAGATACTAATTCGCCTTCCTTCGGAAACACGTGCATTCTGATTTTTCGCCAAGGCTGTCCAAGGGAACTTCTGTCAGCCATTTCACCCGTCATTGCACAGGGAGGACAAGTCACTGGCCCATGCCGTAAAGGACAAAGCCGATCTGCTGGGCGCACTCTTTGCGTCCAACTCGACTCTTGATGACGGGGGAAACACACCGTCGACCATGCCGCGATGTGAGTGATCTATGCAGGATGTGCTGTTTACCCAGCACTCGGTGCGGCAGAGCACTCCTCTCCCTGGACGTCAACAATTCGAGTGGGCCTGATGGCGTCCCTCCTATTGTGCTGAAGACGTTTGCTCCGAAGTTGGCACCGGTTGTAACGATTCTTTTCCGGTACTCCTACTCCCTAGGCGAAGTCCCGAAATCATCGAAGACCCTAAAAAGGCTACCGATCAGATCGTCAATTTTTAGTCTTACATCTTTCTTAGGTCTTACTACAGGCTTATTGCTATCACCTCCTTGTTCTCCAAAATAATGGAATCCATTAGAAACTGCCAGCACATGAGATACCTTGAGGATCGCCAGCTGATTAGTGACCGCCAGTACGGTTTCCGTCGACAGCTTGTGTCTTCTGGGTTACTTAACTCATAAATGGACGGAGGCAGTAGAGTCCAAGGGGGAGGCGTTGGCCCTTAGTTTGGACATAACGAAGGCCTGTTGGTCGGTCGATCGCGTTTGGCACAAAGCTTCCTTTCTATGGGCTTCCCGAGAAATTGTGCAATTGGATGATCAGTTTTCTTGCAGATCGGAGCATCAAGGTCGTAGTAGACGGTGCATGCTCCGATTACAATCCTATTAACGCTGGTGTTTCACAAGGCTGAGTGCTATCACCAACACTGTATCTTCTGCATATCAATGATATGTTGCAAACCGGTAGCATTCATTGCTATACAGATGACAGCACTGGTGATGCTTTATACACCGGCCGTGCCAATATTTCTTCGGAAACCATCGCCGAATACCGGGACAAACTTGTGTTTGAACTTATGTGAAACATGGGTCACACCTGTGCCCCCAGTCCGAGACTTCGTTAAAAAAGTCTCGGACTGGGGGCAACTAAATCTAGTCCAGTTCAATCCCATATAGACACGAGTTTGCCCGTTTACCACTAAAAAGAACCACTTCGTCGTATCTCCTCAGTTACAAGGCACTCCCCTTGTTGACTTAGCCAGTACCGGAGTCAGTAGGAAGAGAAGGCCAAATTGGCCTCTAAAAAGCTTGGCGTGCCCAACAGAGCGGGACAGTATTTCATGACGGCACATCGCTTGCAATTTTACAAGGCACAAATTCGGGGCACATGGAATATTATTCCCATCTCTGGGCTGGGTCTCCCCAGTGCCAGCTTCTATTCCATTTCATCGCATCCAGCGCAGAGCCATACGAATCGTCGGCGACCGAGATCTTTCTGATCGGCTTGACTCACTAGCACTACGAAAAGATGTTGCATCTCTTTGCGTATTTTTTTTATAGAAGAGGGGGCAAACGAGCATGCGGCTCACCTGATGTTAAGTGACTACCGCCGCCCATGATCAACCACAACACGTGCGTTTCCGGCCCTTTAGAAAGGAGTAAGCTCTTTTCTTGAAGGTCCCCAGGTCGTATCGGTCCGGAAAAATCGCTGGTGGTAAACTATTCCACAGAGAGGTTGTACGTGGAAGAAAACTCCTTTTGAAACGTACAGTGGTGGACCGCCAAGCGTCCAGATTGTGTGAATGGTATCGGGACGTTTGCCGCGTAGTGCGTTCTCGAAATTTGGCGGCTGGGATTAATCCGAACAATTCCTCAGAGCACTCTCCATGGTATATGCGAAAGAAAATGCAAAGAGATGCAACATCTCTTCGCAGTGCCAGTGAATCGAGCCGATCGGAAAGCACTCGGTCGTAGACGATTCGAGCTGCTCTACGCTGGATGCGGTCAAGTGGAAGGAGCTGGTACTGGGGAGCCCCATCCCAGAGATAGGAACAGTATTCCATGTGCGGCCGAACCTGCGCCTTGTAAAGTTGCAGGCGGTGTGCCGGCATGAAATACTATCCCGCTCTGCTGAGCACGCCAAGCTTTTTAGAGGCCAATTTGGCCTTCTCTTCCAAGTAAGTGACCACGAAACTGCACGTCACTCGATATGTCTACGCCGAGGATTCCGATACTGGCTGAGGCAACAAGGGGAGTGCCTTGAAACTGAGGATATACGACAAAGAGATTCTTTTTAGCGGTTAACGCGCAAACTTGTGTCTTCTGAGGGGTAAACTGGACTAGATTTAGTCGCCCCCAATCCGAGACTCTGTTCAGCAAGGACTCGACTTCAGACACAAGTTTGTCCCGGCACTCGGAGACGTTTTCCCGAGAAATATTGGCTCGGCCGGTGTAAAGAGCATCACCAGTGCTGTCATCTGCATAGCGATGAATGTTACGGGTTTTGGACACTACTGCCTCCGCCCATCTGAGTTAGGAAGACCAGAAGATCACCAGTTGACCGACCACGGCAAAAACCGTATTGGCGGTCACTAATCAGCTAGTGATCCTCAAGGTACCTCATGAGCTGGCAGTTTACAATGGACTCTATTGTTTTGGAGAACAAGGAGGTGATGGCGATAGGCCGGTAGTTGGACGGATGTAAGCGGTCGCCTTTTTTAGGGATCGGGTGGACGAAAGCCGTCTTCCATGATGAGTAGGAGTATCGGAAAAGACGCGTTAAAACCGGTGTCAACTCTGGAGCACACGTCCTCAGCACAATTGGGCCGTCAGGCCCACTCGACTTGTGGATGTCCAGGGAGAGGAGTGCTTTGCGAACCGAGCGCTGTGTGAACTGTACTTCCGGCATGGAGCACTCACACCGCGAGATGGTCGGCGGCATACTCCCCCCGTCATCGAGATTCGAGTTGGATGCAAAGAAAGAGCCTAGACGATCGGCTTTCTCCTTTGCGGTATGGGCCAGTGAGTCGTCCTCCCTGTGCAGAGATGGAAGAGATGGATGACAGAAATTCCCCTGGACAACCTTGGCGAGAGACCAGAATGCACGGGTTCCAGAAGGAAGGCGAACTAGTTTCTCGCCAATTCTGCCTATGTGCTCTGACTTTGCCTTGGCAATGACTTTTTTAAAGGACCTAGAGGTGGAATTATACTTCTTTTTTAGAGCGCTGGTGTTTACATCCCGGGACGCTGATGCGTCAGCCCAGGCTTGGTAGCACTCCTGCTTATAGCATGACGCTATTTTACAGGAGCGACCAAACCATGGCTGAGGTTTGCCTCCAATGGGCACCACAGAGGAAGTAATAAAAAGTTCCATACCCTGAAGTACCACATCAGCGACAGAATCCTCAACAACGTTGGGATCGTCCGGCGAGAAGCAAACCCGGCCCCAAGGGTAGGATGCAAATAAAGACCGCATCCCATCCCAATCGGCTGACCTAAAAGACAATGGTCCGAGGAGCCTAAAGGGGCCTCGACGGAAATCTGATATCCGTCCGGGTAAGAGGTCAGCAGATGGTCCAACAAGGAAGGTGCATGATCCTCCACATCTGGAATCCACGTAGGCGAAGTAACCAGTTGTGTCAGACCATATGCCAAGGCAAAATCATGACCAGATCTCCCCGCATGATCGGTTAAACGTGAACAAAGCCATTCGGCGTGATGGGCGTTAAAGTCGCCGAGGATCACAATCTCTGCGGAGGGGATCTGCTGTAGCAACGAATCTGCAGCCATTTCGACGTGGTCGAAGAGTCGGTCTGTTTCGGCATTACCGCTATGGGGCCTATAGAGGCACCCGTAGACGCGCGGATGGTCGTCGCTGTCTACGCGTAGCCAAAGGATGACAGGTCCGAACTTTCAAGACTGACGAGGCGTCGAGAACAGATGTCCTTTCTGACGTAAACGCAAACTCCAGCCCGAGGCACAAAAGAGTGTTCCACGGATTCGTACCCCGGGTAGGAGATACGAGACTCGAGAGTACGAGTCTCGGTCAGAAAGAGCAGAGCCGGCCTCGCCGTTTCGAGATGGTAGTGGACGGCGTTTAGGTAGTCCGTAGAAGAATATGAGAGTCCCCTGATATTGCAGAAATTCACGGACAGTGTGGCAGGGGTCGCCTTGGTCTTGTTGCTCCGTTTGCCCCGAGCAGTTGTAGTCTTGAGCGGAATTTTGCCCCCCCCCCCCCCCCAAATACGCGGGGCAGCCTGAGCACCCACGCTCAGAAGTGGAGAAACATGGTCGTGGATGCTCAGCGAGGGATTCTCCAGGGGTTCTGGTACCCTCCTGGGGTAGTCTATCATCATTTAATTCCACTACCATGTTGATGGGGGTGGTGGGGGGATTTAGGCCTCTGGTCACCTGCACTCACCAGACGAAACGCGGAAGCAAAGCTTCCACTTCACGCCGGTATTCTGTGAGGTGTGGTACCACCCCGGTTTGAGCCGGCCCATACGTGCAACAGCAAAGCTGTCGCGTGGCTACCACTGTTTATTATTTTATCGCATTTACCACGGGGAGTGCTCTGAGGAATTGTTCGGACTAATCCGAGCCGCAAAATTTCACAATCGCACATCGCGACAAAACTCTACTCTATCTATACCATCTGGATGACTGGCGGTCCACCACAGAGCGATTTAAAAGAAGTTTTCTTCCTCGCACAACTCCCTTGTGGAATCGACTACCACCAGAGGTTTTCCCAGACCGATACGATACTTCCTTCTACTTTTAGACTCGAACAGGGTAGGACCACCCTTGCACAGAATACCAGTGTAAAATAGCAGCATATTTCGAGTTCACAGGGTGAGTGACGAGATCCAAATATCCTTTTAAATTCTGATTTGGTGATGAGGCATTTCATCTTAATCTATCATGCATTTGCATTTTTTTTTCTAATCCAGGATTGCCAATGGGCCATAGTGTTTATATTTGTTCTGTCAGTTTGATTAGAATAATCTAATATTTCGAAACCAAGCTCCTATAAATAAAATATATTAAAGAATAAAATTCTAAGATCTTTATACAATGGTGAGCATGTTCCATAATGTTTACAAATTGAGATTGATCTTACCCTAGCTTGATCGATATCCTCAGTGGTGGGTTTCCGCGGTTGCCGTTTCCCCCCAAAACCAATTCTCTCTAAGCGCTTACACGCAATTCCTGCATAGTGCGACACTTGAACATGAATAGGCCACTTGCCGACCTATAAACAAAAACACTATAATTATATATTTGATAAAACAAATATTTAGAAAAGTCCACTGGTTCCTTCACTATTAAATTAATTAGAGGCTTGTGGATTTTATCGAATATATAATTTATTATTTCCGGACCCATTTGACAATTACAAATTGTAAAATGTTTCTTGTTCCGCATAGAATACTATAATACATACATAATAGAACGGGGCATTGGGCGGAGCCCGTGTAACCACTAAAATGTCACTAAGATGTCAATTCACACGTATAAATGTCAACACGAGATGTTCTTTGACGTAACAATCGTTTCCAAATTTGGCATGCAAATTATTTAGAAAATACCAAATTGCACACATAAATTTATTTACATATAAATATGTATTAAAGTTTAAACGATTTTTTTTAATGACGATTTTGTCAAAACAGCGAATTGGGTTTGTAGTAGTAATACAACGTAATTGCTTGTATGTGTGCTCTCGGCGACGCCGAATCTCGTACAAAATAAATTCGACAGCCATTCTTATGTGTATTATAGTATTCTATGTTATTCCGTGGGTATTGGCAGGATTGCATGGAATAATTATCAACAATAAGTATCATGATAATTATGTACTAATAGATAATCATCAATGACAATAATGTTTATTCCTGAGTGTTATATTGTGCGTAGTCTACAGTGTGTATAATAAGTTTGTTATTGTTGATTGTATCAAACAAAGAGCATGTTTTTGTTTTGAAATATGGGAATTATACATCGATCACTAATAAAAACTAGATACACAATCAGTGACAAAAAACGACCTCACCGAATGAGCACCCATACGAACATTTGAGTGCACTTTTAATTTAGTTACATTCGAACGCCCCGACGGTATACATGCCTCAATGCTCGTTTAAAAAGTGTAAAAATCACACATCCAGGACGCTAAAATTGATGGAATTTTCGTACGTATTAATATTATCATTATTTAATTCTTATCACTGTATTGTAAATACTTATATTTTGTCAAGAAATCTCCGTAAAACATTTTTTAAATTAAGTCTTAATAAAATAAGTCATAATTGTTCGAGGTGTGTGCGTTGACTCTGTTCCATTTGTTGGAGATGTTATTATTTTTTTATTATTAAAGTATGATTGTTTTTTTTTTGTTTAATGAGAATTCTATAGTTTCTCTAAATATTATAGTAACATTTTATAGACTTAATTTTGAATATGTGCATGTAGTAAATTTAAAGATGTGAGATTTTATTTTTTAATTTTTCAGCTTTCCTCGAGATCCAGTTAGGTGTGCGGAATGGATTTCAGTCATAGCATGTCAAAGGTCCGAAGAATTCTTCAAGCCGACCCAAGGAAGCGTTGTATGTTCGAAACATATTTTAGAAAGTGATGAATATGTGACTACGACTTACAACTTTCTGTACATACTTTTTATATTAAGTAACTATTGAATTTAGATTTAAGTCCTTTGTCAAGCAATATTTTTAAATTATTGACACAAGATGAAGAATAAATAAATAATTATGACTGTTTCAAGTACTTTCGTTACTAAATGAATGTGGTGTCCTATCCAAAAACGTATTTACATTCAGGTAAATTATAACCATTACATATAATACACCATAGAAAAGATTAGAATATGCTTTATGTACACCAGTTATTAAAACGAGTTTGAAACATTTTAAAATTAAAATAACAATAACAAAAAATATTGGGCAGTCCGACTCCAATGATTCCTTACCCCAACTACAAGCCTCGGTCATAAAAAATTATTGCTTTTCGCACGTATCTTTGTGAATACAACTATAGGCAATGTGTTTAAGGTTGAATTTACATAAATGTATATTTATTTCAACCAGAATTACGTCACAACAATTGGCGACAGTTCTTAGAGAACTTTTGTATGGGATTGTGTATCTAATTCTTTATTAGTGATCGATGGAATTATACCTATTAAAATACTTTTATTACTTTATATTGCTGGATAAAAACTCGGATCGGATAATTATTATCGATGAACATTATTATCTTGATAATTTGCAACCCTGTTGCGTGGGTATAATTTCTGTAAACACTGCAAGCATACTTGATGAACGTGAAATTATTTTTCTCAGTGCGGTTTTTGCATGCTTTTAAAGCTTTTTTTTTAATTTTATTCATCATCATCATCATTACAGTCCATCACAAGACCATCGCTGAAGCTGAACCGAGTTTCGTTTTTTCATTCTTTCAAAAAGTTACATAATTATTGTAGGCCAATTATTATATAAATGCATGTGATTTAGTACTGAACATTGCAACGCAGCAGCCAGTGACTGCGTTACAAAAACTCACGCACACTAACAGTTATTGCCGAGTAGTCTTAGTGTGTAATATAAATTGGTTATTTGTACTAATTTGTATAAATTGTAACATATTGTGAGTAAAATCCTCTCTTAACGCTGGACGACGACTCTTTCACTGCGGCCAAGACACCTTTAGCCGTCAGAGCCTCTGATCAGACACAAGTCTGATCTGAATCTGCTTGACTTGCTGTGCGAAAACCCTATCACCTAACCTTGACCTCCTGTCTGTGTCCATCTGCTACCTTAGGTCTCATGGTGTTACATCCCGCACTTATCTCATTTATTTATGTATATTTATATGGTTAGGCTATTGTACAGCATACCTAGAAGTCCCTGCGTCGAGCGACTGCTACGTATAGGTAAGTAACTTGGTAAGGGTCTGTAGGGCCTAGTACTCCAACCATATTCATGTGCAACTAGGTAGGTGAGCCATTGAAGAGAAACTGGGTTAATATTTAAACAAACAACTACCAAACTGTACATTTGTCCAGGAATAAAGGAATTAAAGTAATTGAATTGATTGAAAAAAAAGTCAATTTCATTTTTTCAAGAGATGGAGAAGGGATCCTTTTTGTGATTTTTAAAGGCCATCAATAAAATTATTATAGGCAGTTTATAAAAAAGAAACAAGGCACCTGTAATTATTTTTATGCTACCTGCTGACAGTCACAAAACAACATAAATCCCGTAAGTATATCGCGGAACGGCATATAAGTTTTACAAGCAAATAAAAAATAAGATTGGAAAGAAAAAATCACAATATTTTTATTACTAGGGAAGCATAAGAATGAGTTGTTACCTCGGGGAAAGCATCCGCGAAGGCGGGGTCGCGGTGCCGGTTGACGTAGTTGGTGAGCGCGGGCTGGAAGGCGGGCGACGGCGGCACGAAGGCCAGGCACACGGCCAGCAGCTCCCAGCCGCGCAGCAGCGAGTCCCGCAGCGGGTTCTCCGTCGTCTGCCGGCACAGCTGCACGTACAGCTCGTCTCGCAGCCTGCTCCACACAGGTACCGATCATTTTCTGATCATGTGTTTTAATTAACTACATCATCAAAACGAACTTTACTCACAAACCGTAGTACAGTTAATCTACCGCTTGTAAACACTCTGTGTACAATTAATAGCCAGCCAGTTCTGTGCGTCCTCGTGTGACACATTTTTACATAGAATACTATAATACATATATAATAGAACGGGGAGTGGGCGGAGCCCGTGTAGCCACTAATATGAGATTAACACATCAATTCACACGTATGAATGTCAACACATCTCTTTTGACGTTACCAATCAAGAAACATTGATGTGTCAAAAACAACATATATTGGAAGCACTAGAGATGTAACAAAATTTTACCGATAGCGATAAGCCGGAAAATATTGCCGCTTTTAAATTTGTACTTGGCTCAATGAAAAGCTAAATAGAGAAAACGATAAAATACGATGAAAAATATTAATTTAATGACCTACTAATAAACTCAATTTTAAATTTTTTTATTAAATTGTAAATTTATTCCCTGTATAGGATAACATTAAAAATTTGCAATAAAGTTTTTAGATTCGATCTTCTTCATTACTATATACTAAATAATTACCTCACACCTTACTACTCACAAAGGGTTGGGTAGACCCATTTTGCGTTAAAAGTAAAAAAATATGTATGTACATACTTTTTCATCCAATTTCGCACTTACCTTGTGTCAGCTTACTAATACTTTACTAATTACTGTACTAGACTGAGTGAAGTAGACTGTTTATGAATGCGGGTGGCTCAAAACAGTGCTCTGTGGCGTTCCTTGGGGGAAGCATCTGTTCAGCAATGGACTTGTGAGGGACTGTGGTTGTGGTAGTGGTGAAGATGATGATGATAGTTAAGAAGATTTCCGTCCTGTGGGTGTCGTAAGAGAACTATGAGAAATTCAAAAAGACTGTGCCCTGCCGTACCATCCATTGGTATAACCATCTCGTATGTGGCAAATGCTTTACCATAGGTGCACAAGACATCTAGTACCACAATTGCCAATCTGCCTGCTAAGCTTGCCATTTAGGGCAACTCCTTACTACAATGAAAGGTCCACGTCCAGCAATGGAACGATCCACCCTAAAAGTAAGGGATGATAAAGAATATTATGTTTGTTTATTAACAAAATTCTTATCTTTTTATGAGGCAAATAAAGATATAGAATCTGTATTCAGTAATTAATGAATATAAAATTCAAAAATTGGTACACTCGAATGCCTAACAAATTGTAGAAATGACAGAAGATGTATTTTTATCATAAATATTAATTTAAAACAATAAAAATTACAATAAAATTGACTGTAAGTCGAAATATTTACCTAGATAAATTTACTTACTTTTCGTTAGTAAATGTAGCATGTAAGATATCTTGGGCAACAGAGTTTAGTGTCATGCCAGGCCTCGCTTTCCGATCACCCATATATATCTGGACGAGCCGGAAAAGGTCGATGGCGGCCTTCTTGTGCGCCTTATCCCAATCCGCCCCAACCATCGGCGCGCTAATTGATGATGACGTCCATGATAGCATATCTCGAACTGAAGCCTTCAAAAACAATTTATTTATTTATTTATTTTATTGGATGTACACAACAGTTTACATTCAATTTTACGTAACATAAATACCTATTATATACAAAGTTTTGTCCTGGAATACAAACCAAAAACGCGTACATGCAGTTGCTACATGCATTATCCGTAAACATATTTATGTTTTTTTTTTTGAGTAAAATGTTTACTCAAAAAAAAACAATGTATACTATCCAAACAACAATTTCCTGACTTGCAACTATATTATTATGAGAGTGACACATTCCTGTTAAAGGATTGTAAAATGAAGTATTGTTCTTATAGACGTTTAATATAAACGTATTAAGACGACGCCTGGGATTCGACTTAATATTAAAATTGGTTTGGGATAAAAGATTTGGGGAAACAATTTTGCAGTGTATTAGTTCATGTAAGCAAAGAATATCTTGTATAACACGTTTATTACGCAGTGATGAGATGTAAGTAGTCTCTCCTGATAAGACGGTAACTTGCGACTTATTTTCAGTCTATAACTATTTTAAGAGCTATGTTTTGGATCTGTTCTAGACGCTCGGAGTGCGCTTCGTAAAATGCAGACCATACAACAGAACCATACTCAAGAGTACTTCTTATCAAAGCATAGAAGAGATGTATAAACGTGGATGGTTTTTTGAAATGTTTGGTTGTTCTGGTAATAAAACCCAATTTTTTGTATGACTTAGAAATAATGTGATCATAATGATTTCTGAAAGTAAGTTTTTTATCAAAGTAAACACCTAAGTCTTTTGCAACTGAATTTCGCTTAATAATTTGACCTTCAAGTATATAATAGTGATTTATTTTTTTACGTTTGTTGGTAAAAGAAATAACGAAGCATTTTTTTATATGTAAGTACATACAGTTTTGTTTGCACCAGTCAGCAATTGTGTTAGCATTATTTTGCAAATCAATACAATCATTAAGGTCATTAATTTTCTTGAACACTTTGAGGTCATCTGCGTATAATAGACAAGGACAAGTTAGTTTTGGGCTTAGGTCGTTTATAAAAATAAGAAAAAATAGAGGGTCCAGATGAGATTCTTGTAGAATACCTGATTTAATGATGACGGCAGTCGATTTATACCCCTATCCTATACTATATATATATATATATATATATATATATATATATATATATATATATATATATATATATATATATATATATATATAATGGGAATCTCTAAAACGGCTCCAACGATTTTCCTAAAATTTTGTGTGCTGCGAGTTTCGGGGGCAATAAATCGAACTAGCTAGGATTTATTTTTAGAAAATGTCTTTTTGTCCGTGTTTTTAGGCAATGAAAAACTGCTACAATATCGTTAGAATAAGAAGATAAATTTTGACATCTTATTAATGATTACAAATAGCTTAATTGGTATATTGGGCGGTCACAAAATCGAAATACCATGGTTCGAGCCCAGACCGATCGACCGACTTTTTTAATTTTTTTTTTCAAGTTCCTTTCTTTTTTTGAGAAAATCTATTTTTTCGAGCCCTTTTTTTTATTATTTTTTAAAAACACGAAAATTTAAATTAAACTAATTGCACTCATAATTTTTTATTCAAATAACCAGTTCAGTTTTTTTCTATTACGTCGCTAAGATCAAAAAATATTATTCGTATTTCATCAGTATGTAATTTGTATCTCAATATAATTTCCAAAACACACGAATTAAAAAAAAACCGAGCGAAAAATACCGAGCAAAGCTCGGTCAACCGGGTACTACAGTAACTAATTGGCTACGGTTTTCTAAATAAGACTGTATCCATCGGAATAAATTACCATGAATGCCATACCATTTGAGTTTCTGAGAAAGCAATGCATGATTCACTTTGTCAAAAGCCTTACGAAAATCGGTATATATTCTGTCAACTTGACCACTTACTGCGAAGGCTGAACAAAGATATGCCTTATATTCCAACAGATTTGATATTGTGGACTTTCCCTTGATGTTGTTGCCATGCTGTTGCTCAAAGAGAGCTGGTTGTACATGATAATAAATTCGATCATAAATTACAGATTCAAACACTTTCGCGATACAAGAAAAAATACTGATCGGTCTATAGTTTTCGCATAACGAATAATCACCTGATTTGTGTATTAGAACAACATGTGCAAGTTCCCACGCTGATGGAAACGACCCTGCTCTTAAAGACTTGTTAAAGATGATTGTCAAGGGTAGACTTAGTTCAATAGCACATTTTCTGAGGAATGTAGGTGATATTTGGTCTGGTCCTGCCCCTTTATTAAGATTTAGTTTCTTTAATTTAAGAGTTACATCATGTTTTGGTACAGTGAATTCCGATAGCACATTTTCACACATTTGGAGTGATGGCAGTACTGATTGGGTGGAATCTTCGAATATTGAACTAAAGTAATGCGATAGTAAATTGCAAATTCCAGCTGCGTCTGAAGCTCTGGCATTACCAAGCATTATTGCGCTTGGGATACCTTTTTTAGCTTTTCTGTTATTAACAAAACTCCAAAAAGCTTTGGTATTCATTTTGATAGCGTCTTTGGTTACGTTAATTAAAGCAGAATAACATTACTCCAACAAATAGTTGGATATAGCACGCAGCATTGAAAATGTATCGTAATCTCGGGGATTACCATACATTTTATAATTTTTATGGAATTTTTTCTTTTCTGTAAGGCACTTTTTTAGCGCTGTTGAGAACCATATTGGGTGAGTAGAGGCTTCTTTTTTCTATAAAGGAACATGTTTAACAATGATTTCGCTAATTACTGAGTAAAAGGAATCCACCGCCATGTCAACATGGTCGTCTGAAAGGAGTGTCCCCCAATCAACACCCTTGATTTCTCTACGTATAGCATCATATCTATATATAGCTATAAGCTTAGACAGTGTGTTAACCGATATTTCAAGTGCAGGGTGATATTTATCATTACGGGATAACGGACTAGTTTCAGAAATTAAAATACTAGTAGAGGAGGACAAAACAAGGTCTAAAGTGCGATCTAATTCATTCCGAACATAATTCATCTGATATAAATTGCATTGAGAAATGTAATCACATAATAATGTAGCCTTAGAGTCTGTGGGACAGTTTGGAGCAAGGTAAGGACTATTACCATTTAGATTAACAGACCATGATAAACTTGGCACATTAAAATCTCCGAGCACTATATTAGTGTCATTTGAGGATATTGTACTTAAATTTTTATGTAAGTCCTCGTAAAAGTACTTAAGTTTATTAGAGGGTAAATCAGGAGGAAGGTAACAGAGACATAGGTTAATGACAGACTTCAGTAGACTATCGAGCAAAACTGATATCCACAATGTCACTCTCCCATTCTTTATGGCGAATTACCTTAAACTCCTTTTTAATAGCTATCAGCATTTGTCTTTTAAGAGCCCAGTCTTTCAGAGCAAAACAGAAAAATTGCGTTCTGGTGACACATCTACACCCTCCCTGCCCCGCCACTTCATGTACCGCCACCGCAGTTATCTTTCTGGCCGTAGCGTGGAAAGTTGCTCTACTAAGATTTTCCAGTATCAATTTATCTAATATACAGGATTATTGATAATTAGCTAACAAATTTTCACATACAGATTTTCTACCTCGTATCTATTTTTGTTCCATGCTTTTATTACAAAATTCGTTACACAAAAAAAAATATTTTAAGTTTGTATAATTTTTGTTGTTTTGTTGAAAAGGTTTCTAAAAGATAATCATCTAGAACCTGTATAACATGTACTCGTATTATTGATTATTCAAATGAATCTGGCAAGTGCTAGAATGAGTCGTGCACTGAGGGTTTCGTAATAAGTCGATGACACTATCGAAAATCCGTCAAGTACGTCAAGTAGTTCTAAATACTAAAATAGATTAAAAAAAAACTCAAAATAATTTCTATATAAGTACAAACAGTCCACTATCACACATATTTATAGTTTCTCATTAAAGTATAATGTAACTTTGTATAGCATATCTTGACTGTCAGGCTTTGTTACAGACACTATATTTGTTAAAGTCGTTCGTAAAAGTCTACTTTCGTCATGTCCTGATAAACGGTGTTCGTCAATTTCAATGGTGCTAACATCTGACAATGGTTGGCGAGAACCAGCAGCGGACCTGGGTACAAATATGCAACTCATTTATAAACTATTCTTAAAAGTACCTACCTAATTATATACCTAATATTTAACCAAGTGCTCACACATATGCACGTTGTTAACTATTTTACTATGAAACACAAAAAAAAACTTACCTTTGAATTCTATTTCTGTTCATTGCTTCAACGTTTGATTTCAATTTTCGTTTTCTGGTACAAGCATATTTTTTACGTTTATGGTCCATATCGAAATTAAAAGTTATAAAACAAATACAAAATGATTTATAAACCCTTAAAGAATTATATGCAAAAAATAATAAAGTAGAGCAACTTTCAATTCGTAACAATGCGCAACCAAGATTAGGGAAAGAGAGAGAAAGAGGAATGTTAGAGCGAGAGGAAGTGCAAAAATTTGGCACAGACAAGACGTCTGAACGCTACAGCCGCTCAGCGGCTACTAAGGAATATTGCCCGCAATTATTGTTTATAAAGTCAATATTTTATAGGTCGATCGAAATAATTATTAATTTTGAAATAAAGTGGTTTAAATTATTATTTTTTAATATTTGTCTAATTAAACACCTGCCCTTGAGAAAAAAATAATTATAGCATAAATATTTTCAGCTATTGCTATGAAACAAATAGTTTTTTATGAGGCGAAAACAGCGAAATTTAACGAAATTGAGACCTCTTATTTAAGACAATGAAAGATATTTAGAAAAAAAGAAACAGCGCATTTTGGAGATGAAGATGTTTAGCTATTAACGCGCTGAATAGATTTCGCCTTTTTTATTATCGATTGCCTTATAATGGTACACGAACAAAGCTCGAAATTGCGTTGGGTGCGAGAGAGCTCTATTTACCGTTTGATTTATCTAACATAGACCACATAGATGAACCAAAAAAAAAATTTAGCCATTACTTATAATCTGGGTATTTATGTGTTATCAAAATATTTTACTCTGAAACAATAATTTGCTGTAAAAAAAGAAATCAAAGTGGCGCTAATGATTCGATGTGAGTCAACTTTAAAAGACTGTAGCCTTAAACAAATTGTCCTTTAAATTTGTATCTTTGATTTTCGTAATACTGCGGCGTATGAGGTATTAGTTATACGTTAAATCTTCATAGTTTCATCGCAACGGGACACTTATTTAATAAGTTAAAATTATTTCAAAATATTTTTCATAAATACCTGCTGCTAAAATAGGTAAAGATACAAGTTTTTATCTTTACCTACTTTATCAACAGGTAATCCAGAAATGTTACAATTGATGATTAAGCCCACTGGCGCATAGTCTTTTCCTGCAAGTGGCAATTCATTTACAAGACACGTTCTGATTACTGTTGATCCGCGATAATCCGACAAACGTGTTGCAAGACAGTGTGGAATTATCAAATTTGACGGACTATAGGGATATAGAATATTTACCACAAATCAATCAAAAAGTAATCCGGAACTTTTTGAAAAAGAGTGACGTGTAATCCCACAAATTACATAACAAATATAAAATGATAAAAGAATCATGTGATCCACAACGAATACCTAAACAATAAATAATGAACGCCGGCTAGGCCCGCAAACTACAAAGACAATACGCGGCCCAAACTAGTTCCACGTGTGGAGATGTTCTTTGCGAATTCGCAAAGAACATCTCCACACGTGGCGGATTCATATATAATAACGCGACTCGACTATACCTAGGTACACGTTATAGGTATGTCGGATTACAGGAGGTGCCAGATTAGACCGGGACCGGATTAGCGGGGTCAACTGTAATTGGTCCTCTGAGCCAGACATTTATGCTAGACGAATTTAAGTATGTATTTTTTCATGCAAGGAAATGCACTGTAAGGGTATAAACGATGTTTGGTACAACGGAGGTGTACGTCCCTCACCTTCCTCCTGAATATGCCCTTGTTGAAGTTAAGGTTATCCTTCGCGAAGATCTCGATGTCCTGTTCGGCCGGCACGTGCGCATGCGGCGGCGCGTGCGTTCGAACTGGGCTGTAGAGTGCACCCTCCCCTCCTCCCACGCCTCCTCCCGCCCCGCTGCCATCCACTGAGCTACCGCCCGTGCCCCCCGCGCCTGCACCCGTGCCGCCGCCACCCAGGGACGACGTCTGTTCACATTAACACATACAAATACAGTATAGTAGTGAGCTCTTAAAATATCTATAAAGCATCTTGAACGATCTAAATTAAAAATCAAGTATATCTTTTGAATACTGGTCATATTTACTACTAATTAATCATTCACTTTTACTTTTAACGGTATCAGTTACGAATAATTACTTACGCTTTAAAATTTATTACGAATTCACAAGCAAAATAGGATAATTAATTATCTAACATCACTCAAATAATTTTATTATAAGTTTAATTTATTACGCAATATCGTAAATTGAAAAATAAATCGTCTATTCAAATGGAAATTATAAATGTTTTAATACTCATACGTTCATAGAAAAAAACGTCTATTTTCATAACTTTTACATAACAATTCTATATAAATTGACTGCTCCGTGGCGCAGTGGCTTAGCAATGAGTTACAGCGCTAAAGGCCGCGGGTTCGAATCCCGCACGGAACAAGTCTTTTTGTATGGCATATAAGTAATTGTTCCGGGTCTGGATGTTTGTCCTTGTGAAATTTATGTCTGTAAACTGCCTCATGATAGAGGAGAAAGTCCTAATGTGGAGGGTGAAGGTAGTTTTTTTTTTCAAAAAAACTGGCTGGTTTTGATAGGTGGCGCTGTAGACAAGTTATAACAATTGTTCATACCTCTACGTAACAGTTAACAGTAAAGACAAAATAAATAATACTTAAAAAGTAACGATCTACTCACCCGATGTATCCCAGGCGAGGGCTGTCGATCCCTGTCGAAGCCGACAAACGTGTTGTAGTAGGCAACGCCGTGGTTCATATACTCGGCGTCGGCGCGGTGCGTGTACGTATGCGGCAAGTAGACGCCCGAGCCGTCGTCGTCGTCGGGCGTGCGCGCGCCGCCGTCCGACGACTCGTTGTCAGGCTCGTGGCCCGACAGCGAGCGCGACCGCGACCCCGACCGCGACGAGCCCGACGACCCGTCCGACTCCGACCCGCCCGTGTACCGACCCCGGCCTACACACACAAAAACACCGATTTTTGTGAGAAGTTAAAAACGTTCTCGTCGACCATACCGCAAAGCTTTTGAAGACGAAGTCTTCGACCAGTGCGTCCTGCCAGTACTCACATATGGTGCCGAAACGTGGACACTTATGGTACAACTACTCCACAAACTCAAAGTAACCCTGCGGGTGATGGAAAGAGCTATGCTCGGAGTTTCTCTGGTGGATAAGGTTCGTAACGAAGAAATCTGCCGGAGAACCAAGGTTACCGACGTAGCTTTCCGTATTTGCAGGCTGAAGTGGCAATGGGCTGGTCACATTTGTCGCAGAAGCGATAATCGTTGGAGTAGGCGTGTCATAGAGTGGAGAACGCGTTTAGGTAAAAGTAGTGTGGGACGCCCCGAAGCTAGATGGAGCGACGATCTACGCAAGGCGGCAGGCAGCAACTGGGTGCGTGAAGCCGAAAATCGGGCTAAGTGGCGCGCCTTGGGAGAGGCCTATGTCCAGCAGTGGACTACCGCAAGCTGATGATGATGATGAGTGGACACTTTCTTCCTCGCACAACTTCCTTGTGGAATCAACTACCACCAGAGATTTTTCCGGACCGATACGACTTAGGGACCCTTTAAGAAAAGAGCCAAATCCTTTTTAAAAGGCCGGCAACGCATCTGCCCTGGTGTTGCATTTGTTCATGCAGCGGTAATCACTTACCAGGTAAGCCGTTGCTCATTTGCCCCCTCTCCTATAAAAAAATTATAATCTTACTTGACAATTTCGCCTGTTGTATAATATAGTCTTGTAATGGCAGCAAATGCTGCATTCCTCTTAAGTCCCAGTTGCAGTATAATGGCGATCCTCCGCCTTCTTCATCTTCATCCTCGCCATCCATTTGTGTATCATCTACTTCCATAGGTCTTTTGTGCCCTAAAAACATAGTATATTGACAGTTAATGTAGTTAGGGATTTGTTATTTCTATATTATGTTTTCATTATTTTAATATAATACCCTGCAATAATCCCCTGCCGACTCAGACCACGCCAAAATTTATTTATTTATTTTAAATCTTTATTGCACATAAAGTGCACAATTGGCGTACTTTAGGCCTTTAGGCATTGTCTACCAGTCAACCACAACCAAAGCAGAGAATCTTAAGCAGGTGTAGCAGTATATATATTCATATCTCTCAAAGTTTTGGTCTTACTGAGATAAAAATTAGCTCATTCGAAGACAACAATATTATCTATCGTTTCCGTTACCAAAAAAATTGTTCACATACTCGTATCTTTAAAGAAAAATAAAATTTACTTCAAATAAATATCAAAAAATTATGCTAATCGGCAAATTATTGTAAATTACTGCGAAAACAGCCCCGTTTATCCCTTTTATTTTTTTACTAGGTCGACAGATTTGAGTTAAGCTACAATAAAACATAAAATTTACAGCTGTATGTTTATTACTTTAAGAATTATTGTTGTTTGAACATAGCGTATGCGCAAACACAAAAGGACTTTGTTTAGTGACAACTGGCACTGCTAAAGTTACTTTATTATAGTTTATATTTAAATGTTTTACAAAATTGACCTACAATTAAAATATCTAAAGAAGTTGCACAAAGTGGCCACCTCAAGCTTGTAGACAAGCTAAAGCTCTATGTGCCACCTGCAATGTGCCATCCGTCGAACGCTTAGTCTGGGATTACTTGTTATTAGCCTAAGCACTTCTTCTTCATCTTCGGGCGATACCAAACGAGCATGTCCATTAACAGTAGTTTGAATGCCCCTTTCCGCTAGTCTCGAGGGCACGTTAACAAAAGTTTGGCGACATGGTATAGGCCTATTAGGGTACCTTCGTCGATGTTCTTGTACAGCTCGATTTGCACTTCCATTGCAAAAGCCAAGTGTATGTCGGCAATATGTTGCGCTAAATATTGATGATTTGCCATATTTGTATCACACTCTTAACGATAAACAGTAATATAGCATGTATATAGCACGGAAAATAAGTGAAAGTAGCAATAACAACGCAGGGCGAGGGACAATTAATTTAACTAATCAACTGTCAAACTGGATTTTTTTTGCTAGTAGCTTACAGTATTTTCGGCCTGCTCTTGAATGGAATACATCATTGCATCTATTCAAGAGCAGGCAGCACAGAACACTATTACTCCTAGGCAGGTAGTGCCAGTTGTCACTAAACAAAGGCCTTTTGTGTTTGCGCATACGCTATGTTCAAACAACAATAATTCTTAAAGTAATAAACACACAGCTGTAAATTTTATGTTTTATTGTAGCTTAACACAAAATCTGTCGACCGAGTAAAAAAATAAAAAGGGTAAACGGGGTTGTTTTTGCAGTAATTTAGAATAATTTGCCGTTTAGCATAATTTTTGATTTTTTGAAGTAAATTTTATTTTTCTTTAAAGATAAGTATGTGAACAATTTTTTTGCTAACGGAAACGATAGACAATATTGTTATCCTTCGAATGAGCTAGTTTTTATCTCAGTAAGACCAAAACTTTGAGAGATATGAATATTTTTGTAAACACGTAGAGAATATCTCAAGAAGAAAACAAAATGGCTGCCACATAGAGGGGGAAGGGATTAGACCTCAGTTTATAGTGTATTTTTGTATTAAAATTGCTGTATTATAAGTACCTAGAATATCGCTAGTCCGTGACCGGACACACTGTATACATATATACATAAACACTCACGCCTGTCACCCAGAGGGGTAGGCAGAGACTACGGACTTCCATTTGGTAAGATCCTGACATACCTCTTTCGCCTCCTTTACATCCATATATCTACGCATACATGCTCGTCGGTTAAGGGTACTTCTAACGTGGCCCATTTTCAAAATATCGCCAATTTGGTCGATAAACTTTTTCCTAGGGCGTCCCTTCCCGACTCGGCCATTCACATCTGCCATATAAATTTGCTTTGTCACTCTTTCCTCATTCATTCTTTCTACGTGGCCAAACCACCGAAGCATTCCTTTCTTAATCCTGGTCACAACATCATCTTGCATACCACATTTATCTCTTATCACGCAATTTCTCACCCTGTCATTCAGATTACACCCTTAAAGACCGCATTTCTACAGCATTTATTCTACTTTCGTGCTTCTTCTGCCACACCCAGCTTTCACTACCATACATTAAAGTAGGGACTAACACAGCATTATGAATTACCATACGTGCCTGTTTTGACAAATTCTGGTTCTTCATAATAGAGTGTAGTGCCACATATACAGGATGGCCCAAAAGTCGTGGATCAAACGCAACTAGGGGTTAGATGGGGTCATCAGCTGCAAAAAGTTGTTCTACGGGAGGTCCTTAAAGTCAACCCCTGCAGAGTTATAATTTATTTTGTGTTTTTATGAGAAAATTGACTTTTTTTTAACTAATTCTTATTAAAATGCCAAAAAATAAACATCCTCTATCTTTTTTTATAATTTTCACTAGATTGGTACTGATGAGTCCTTGCGTTAGACATGCCATTTATGGTTGTTTATTGGGTGTGTTGAAGATAATGTTAAGTTTTACGATTATTATTTTTCTCAAATCATAACTTTTTATTTACTTCGGACCCCACTGTGAAAAAAAAATACTCTACCAAAAAGTGACCATGTATTACAAGATTTGGCGCATTTAATAGGGATTCTGAAATGGTATTACACATGGCCATGAGTGGCTCTAATATCTTTCTAGGACGAAAAAACAAAGCAACGATTGTGAAATAATTGTTTTATTAAGCAAAACATTTTACAATAAATGCTCAAAATTCCTGCCTCTGACCATAATACATAATCTGCACCGTCTAATAAAATTCCTACGTAACCTACGGAATGCACTTCTGTTGTTAGTTACTTGTACTCTAGCAAACTCGAGCTTTTGTCGTAGTTCTTGTTCGCTATTGTTCTCTCCTTGGTAAACTATTTCTTTAAAATAGCCCCAAAGAAAAAAATCTAATGGATTTAAATCGGGCGACCGGGGTGGCCACGCAACATGTCCGCCTCGACCAATCCACCGGTTGGGGAAGCGCTCGTTCAAATGATCTCTGACTGCTCGAGCGTAGTGAGGCGGGGCGCCATCATGTTGCAGCCACATTTCTGCTATTCTTTCTTCTGGAACTTCAGCTTCGTTAAGAATATGGTTTAAATTATTTTGCAAAAAATTTAAATACTGAGCACCATTCAGCCTTGCTGGCATTTCATACAGCACCAACTGCTGGCCAATTATACCAGCCCACATGTTAATACCAAACAGATTCTGGAATCGATCATTTCTTATGATATGGGGGTTTACTCTGGAGTAAAAATGTAGATTGTGGATATTGAATACTCCCATTCTTCTAAAAGTTGACTCATCCGTCCATAAAACCTTGTTAAAGAACTGCGGATCTTCTCTGTGATATCTTAGCATCTCTCTACAAAACCGCACTCTAGGTTCATAGTCACCGGGCAGCAAAGCTTGCACCCTTTGCACGTGGTAGGCGTGATATTTTTTTCTGTTAATGACACGTTGAACCGTCGATCTTGGAATCCCGATATTACTGGATATTTGGCGTTGACTTATACTAGGATCCAATCTTAATTCTCTCAGCACTTCATCTTCATTTTCAAATTGCATCACTGGTCTGCCTGCTCTCATAGCATGCTGACCGGGTAAGACTCCCTCCATGTACGAATTATGTACGCGCATAAAGACCCTGTAATCCGGAAAACGATCACGGTTAGGGTAGCGTTGACGATATTCCCTGGCAGCAGCCCGGGCATTACCGTCGCAAAAGCCATACAGGTAATGCATTTCTGCATACTCCCGTTGGGTGTATTCTCTCCTCGCAGCAGCCATCTGTCCACTTTTGTAGCCAATCCGTCCGATTCACACAGCACTGGTCACAGGTAGGCAATCTATCACAAGTCCGAAAAACAAAGCGTAGGTTAAAGGAAAGAAACTGGTCACAAGTCGTCGTAAAACCGAGAAAAAGAACACGTGCGTACCCACAGGCAGGAAGCGAGTTACTAAAGAACACTAAACATTCTAAAGAAACATGCTCACGCGCATCCCCCAGCCCCCGCCCCTGCCGGCCCAGCCTTTTGTTTCCTAGAAAAGATATCGCTACCTGAACTGACGGGCCAACCGGCCTTTTACTGACAAAGGATTAAATAGTTAGTGTAAAAGAGAGGCAGAGAGTCTTTGTCATTAATTGTATTAATTCTAGTTTATTTTTAAATAAGCCTAACCGAGTTTTATGGTTGGGTTAACTTTGGCCTTGCCATGAATAATCGTCCTAAAAAAGATATCAAAGCCACGCATAACCATGTGTAATACCTTTTCAGAATCCCTATTAAATGCGCCAAAACTTGTAATACAGGGTCACTTTTCGGTAGAGTATTTTTTTTTCACAGTGGGGTCCGAAGTAAATAAAAAGTTATGATTTGAGAAAAATAATAATCGTAAAACTTAACATTATCTTCAACACACCCAATAAACAACCATAAATAGCATGTCTAACGCAAGGACTCATCAGTACCAATCTAGTGAAAATTATAAAAAAAGATAGAGGATGTTTATTTTTTGGCATTCTAATAAGAATTAGTTAAAAAAAGTCAATTTTCTCATAAAAACACAAAATAAATTATAACTCTGCAGGGGTTGACTTTAAGGACCTCGCGTAGAACAACTTTTTGCAGCTGATGACCCCATCTAACCCCTAGTTGCGTTTGATCCACGACTTTTGGGCCACCCTGTATATATCACAGACAGAGTATGTTTACCTGGGACAAATAGTCCGACTAGATAAGTCCAACATCGACCGAGAGTTCAAACGAGGTATTCAACTTGGCTGGGCAGCGTTCGGGAAATTACAACACATCTTCTCGTCAGGCATACCTCAAAACCTCAAACTAGATTGTACAACCACTGCGTGTTGCCAGTGATGACATATGGGATCTGAGAAGTGTTCCTTGACTGCTGGCCGTGTGTTGAAGCTCAAAGTCGCTCAGCGAGCTATGGAGAGCTATGCCCGGGGTTTATCCGCGTGATAGACATAAAAACGAGGATATCCGCTGTTAGAACCAGAGTAACCGACATAGCCCAACGGATTAATAAGCTGAATTGGCAATGAGCCGGCCATATAGCTCGAAGAACCGACAACCGATGGAGAAGGAAAGTTCTCGAGTGGCAGCCTCGTACCGGCAGGCGAAGTGTAGGGCGTCCCCTCACTAGATGGAGTGACGACCGGGTAAGACATACATCGAGTCACTGGATGCAGGTGGCTCGGGACCGTGTTTTGTGGCGTTCGTTGGAGGAGGCCTATGTTTAACAGTGGATTTGTGAAGTGTTGTAATGATGATGATGATGATGAACATAAATATAAATACACTTATAAATATACATTACTACATATAACCTAAATAATATACTCTATTGGCCAAATACTCAAATGCTACTCAACTTTAAGAAGTTAAGTCTCGTGGTGCTAAAATCACTTCGACTTAAAGTGATAGAGACAGCACGAGAATTATTGGCATCCTAAAACTACGTATTTGGGCATATATACCTGATTAATATAAGCAATTTTTAAATGCATAAACCAAAAATTTAAGTACACTTATATACAAATATATACAATATTAACATATATAATATATGACGGCTCCGTGGCACAGTGGCTTAGGAATGTGTTTCAGTGCTGGGAGCCGCAGGCTCGAATCCCGCACGGAACAAGTATTTGTGTGGCCTACAAATAATTATTCTAGGGTCTAATAATAATAATAATAAGGGTCTAGATGTTGGTCCTTGTGCAATTTCTGTTTGTAAACTGCCTTCACGATAAAGAAGAAATTCCTAGTGGGAGTAAGGATTTTTAAGCAGAAATATTTAAGAAAGTTAGCCAGTGGAAAAAGAAATGTAATGACCAGACACCGTTATCTTAAAGGCAGCAATAGAAGTCGGTTTCCTAGTATGTGGAGGTAATTTATTCCAAAGTCAGAAACGCACATGTGATTTCACAACATTCACCAGAGAAATGAAAAAAGTATGCAAACTCTCTGAAAGAACAAGTATTTATGATGTCACATATGCCATCAGCAAGTGGTAAAGATGAATCATCGTGTTAGATAACTAACAACAAAATATTTCAAGTAAATTCGATGATCAATTAGTAAATAACTTGACCACATAAATATTTCAAATGTAAAAATGACTTACGTCGCGATTTAGTCCGATCTCTAGGTGTGGTTACTTTCTCGGTTCTCTCGAAACGTTGGTTGTGCTTTTGTACATTTGGCTCTGTCAGAGGCGGCTCCAGGCTCACACACTTCAGTTTGTAATTGACTACAATAAAAAAAAAACTAATTTAATCTAAAGAAAAATTAAACAACCATCTTTTAGACTGAAAAATTTTACTGGAATCAAAACCTTTTTACTGGTAAAAAAGCATTTCACTTAAGGCCAGTATTCAGAAAAAATCATTTCAACAATCATTATGAAACATAGTATGGTGTAGACTCGTTTTTAGTTTAAACTTTAGATTGTCTCTAAATACCAGCCTTAGTCCTCAGGTATGACAAAGCATTCGTATTTTGTTTTCTAATCAATGATAGGTGTAGATGTTTATGGACCACAGTATCCACTTATTATCGTGTGAACTGTGCAACTCACAGACAAAGAATTTTTAATGCAGTTGTTACATTTTATACACTTAGTAGACATCCACGACCTTATGAACCACTTTTCTTACCTCTTTCTTTTTACAATTAAAACTTGATTCTAGAATCAAATCCTAGAAAGGCGAATAAGTGAAATATACAAAGTGCTAGTTCTATTATACTTTTATTTGCACTGCTGTAGTCTGGTGTAAAGGGTAAAAAGTGCCATCCTGTAAGCCAAGCCATGTGCACTTTTGATCGTACAATACCTACCTTACGTCCGCCAAGCAGTGATCTAATTTGATCAGAATTATGTAAACGTGTGTACCTATGAAAAAACTATTTTTTTCGTTTTAAACAAAACCAAAGACACTATGCAATAGATAATAGTATCAAAGACAAAGATATGCTCTTTTATTTTAAACCATTACCTGGCAATGTTTCTTAGAAAAAAAAAAAGAAATCACTCTGAACTTTCGGCGTTCCACGTGTCGTTTTGATGAAGGTGCTCCGTCTTTTTTATAGAATTTTATATTAGTGTCTGGACTAAAAACGAAAGTATTATACTTTTTTATATTCCTTGTAATATAGTGAACACATATATATATATAATTTGTGGTATAAAAAGTGAAAAGTAAATTGCCAAAAGTGCTTCAAAATCTGGAAGGCCCATTATGGCGGCTGGGTCATAAATGTGTTATTTTTCAAATTCTCATTTATTTTTAGTGTAAAATGTAAGTAAAAATAGTTTTCTTACATATTTCAAATAACTTGACGTTGTATTTATTTCAAATTCACACAAAACTATTTTAGAAATATTGTTCTAAACGTCACACAGATAAAATATTATTATTTTTTTTTTAATTTTTTTATATTTTAATATTTTGGTATGAGTAACGAATGGAAACACATAAAACATAAAAATGTACATATTTCCAAACATTTTCATATAAATTTCTCTAAAAACAAAAGTGTAGAATTCAAATTAGTAGTCATTTTGTCACTAAAATTGAAGTATATACCACTACTATGATATACAGGGTAATTTACGTATTTTATTACAATTTCTAGCAACCAAAAATAATTTTATTCGATAGTTTATACATTCAACAAGAATTCCTGTAAGTTTTATCCATAAATATTGTCTCAAAGTGAAAATATAGCAAAATTTGCAATATAGCAAAAAATTTGCTAATTTGCAAATTTTCCCGCCATTACGGTCCCGAGCGAACGGGAGTATAACATGTCGCGCGCTCGCTTGGCGAACAGGATATCAGTCCTCAGAGTTGACATGATAGCTGTAGCCTTCTTTGTTTGAAGCACTGGACTGATCAGGACTGGACAACTGGACATTGGCATTACCAATGCATTTTCCGGGTCTATATTTTATGTTCGATCGTCACTTCAGTTTTATAAAAACAAGGCATAAATATAATGTGTATAGTAAGTGCGACAGGCGTGCGAGTGTGCTCACGTGCGTGCGTAAGTGCTTGCGCATGGGCATGCGTGCGTGCGCACGCTGCGTGTGCGCGGTGTGTGTGTGTTTGTCTGTGTGTGCGTGTGTGTGTGTGTGTGTGGTGACTGACCGACGGCGATAGTGTCCTGCTCGTTGGCGGAAGAGAGGCGCAGGAAGTTGTGTTGATTGTCGTGAGGCGCGCGGGGACGGCTCGACGACACCGTCGTCTTGCTTGACGTGTAGCGTTCCGGCTCCGCTTGCTGCCGCCTGCTTTGTGCACCAAATATAGTTTTCACTACAGGGCTCTGCATTTCCTCGTCCTCATCAACCAGATAGCCCACTGCTATGATTAGAAATGTTTCATAGAAAAAAGCATATGCTATAATACCGCGCAGATTGGAGATTGCAGTAACAGGGTGGTGTCGTGCCATTAATGTACTTCCTTAAACGGTTTTAGTATCGACATCTGGCATATGCCAGTAGAATGTTTTACATTCTAGTCGCTCATGTCAACATTTTTCTCCAAAGGCCAACACCTGCTCGCAGTGCAACCTGCTAATTGATGAACGTGACGCGATCGAATGATAGCGAAAAATCTATTCGCACTTACCTACCCGTCTCAATGTGGTGGGTATAAACAAATCATCAAATAAATATTTCTCGAATGATATTTACTTGGAAACTCCTATTTTCAATAACAGACTTAAAATGACTGGAATTATGTTATATACAAATTTGATTATTGACGTATTTCGTGACATTACTCATGGTCGAATTTTATGACACCAACGGTAAAGCATTTATTCTATAATGCCGTTACTATTTTATACGTGGTAGAGCCATGCTGCAGTTATATTAGTAGTATAGTCGTAGTACGAATGAGTCGGTTCGAACAGGGAAGGACCACGCTCTCACAGAATACCAGCGTAAAATAGTAACTTAATGCTGCTGTATTTTCGTATTGTGAGTGTAGAAAACCAGAGACCATTTTTACTGGAAACGAGGCATTCTATCTTAGTCGTGGTTTGATTTGATGTAGATGTCTACAGGCCGCAGCAACCACTTACCATGTGGTGGACTGTGTGCTCATTTGTCACCCTTATTCTATAAAAAAAAAATCTATTAATTATAACTCGAATGCACTTTATAAAAACTATTGTGGCTGGATAAACTTGTTTTCTCTGTCAAAAACCCATAATTTATTTGTTTTTATAATACTTGTATGTATTGTCTACACGCGATTTCCTACTTTACCAATTTCTCCAAAACTAAATTTGTTTAGTTCCCCTGCATTTTTAACAAAATCATGGTAGCAATCTAGTTCTAATAAGTTCCAATATTTTACATAGGGCTAATCCTATTTTAAATTAATAAACTGAGATAAACAAACCTAGTAAACTCCCTGGGCTGATGCCAATTAGCAGAAGCGGAGTTATGGCGTAAATCAAGGCTGGTTTGTCGAAAAGGCTTATCCACACTGTATACTGCTTGCTTGTCTGGGTAACGTTCCATGCGATCCAACTCTACTAAACGATCTTTGTCCAAATGCCTGAAAAAAAACGAGATGTAGCTGAAATAGCGTAGCTAAAAACATTTTTTAATAGGATAAGGTGACAAACGAGCACACAGTCCACCTGATGATAAGTGGTTGCTGTAGCCCATAGACATCTACACATATCCTCGATTACGAATCAAAATACAGATGCGTTGTCACCCGTGAGGACTTAGATGAAATGCCTCGTTTCCAGTAAAAAGGGTCTCCGGCTTTCTACACTCACCATACGAAACACAGCAACATAATACCCAAACTAAAAAAATAAAACAGTAACAACACTTTTATTACAGACATTCATAAAATTTCAGTTTTCAAAGTTATTCAGTTTCAAATTACACAGTCAAACCGAATGCGCTTTGCAATTTAAATAGTAATATTCATTTTTAGGGTCCCGTCTCCAAAGGGTAAAATGGAGCCTTATTAATGTCACCCTATTGCCTGCCTGCCTGTCTGTCTGTTTGGCTGCCTGTCTGTATGTCGATGTCTATTCGTATGGCACAAAAATTTTAGCTTGCTCATGGAAAGAATCACAGACCCGAAATTTGGATATTTGAATTGTTGTAAAATGTTGACCCATAACTGAATATCGAATAAGAAATTAAATAAAATTATTTTAAGGAGGGTATCTTATGTACTAAATACATGAAAAAGATGTCGGAAAAAATATTCTTACATAACATGTGAGGTGTCTTCGTCTTTATCTAGAGCTCATTAACTAGAGTACAAATATAGAATAGAGTAAATTTATTTGCAATTATACGATTTGGCATGAGATGGTGTTACAATTACATTATCCTAAGATTGTGTATAGAGTCTGCAAGCAGACATGCAAATTTTAAATAATATGTACTTAAAATTATTATTCCTTTTTATCTTAAAAAATAAGGAAATGGTTTGTTATCAAATTGTCAGTTTAAGACAGTTTATGTAACTGTCTCAAAATTAAACTAGTTAGGAGTTGAGAAGTACCAGGAGTGCATGGGTGTGTAGTAGGTGGTGACGTCACCTGTCGGAGAAGCGTTCGCGCGAGTGTCTGGACAGCTGGTGCGGGCGCTCGAGGCTGTGCATGAGGCGCGCGCCGCCCGCCTCCGTCGCCAGAGATATGGACGACACCAGCGACGGCCGCGCAGCCGTCGTCTGCAATGTGTCATATAAACAAATAAATATACACCATGTTTCTTATAACTAGGACTGCGACATTTATAGTGTAAATAATTAATAATAGATTTATCAAAATGGCAATAATTGAACGCAATTAATCGCGCGCAATAATACTATTCAAGAATTAAAAGTATAAATTTTAAAGAGTTAATAGTAAGTATTTATTTTTTAACTACACAGTGCTATGTTTTATTGCGCGCGATTGCACATGAAATATAGAAAGTTATTCAATTATAAGTACAAGTACTATACCCAAAAACTTATACTTTTTATGCTGCAGTTATATATAATGGGTGGGCTTAATTGGGGTAGGACCATGCTCTCACAGAATACCAACGTAAAATAGCAGCTTAATGCTGCCGTGTTTCTTATGGTGAGTGTAGAGGATCGAAGACCCTTTTTACTGGATACAAGATATTTTGTCATAGACCTCATGGGTGACAACGCATCTGCGTTTTGATTCTTAATTAAGATAAATGTAGATGGCTGGCCACGGCATCCACGTATTATCAAGTGGACTGTGTGCTAGATTGTCACACAATTCTATAGCAAGTGGTAAAATTAAAAATTTTGTACAATCGACTTCATCATCATCATTTCAGCCCTTCACAAGTCCACCGCTGAACATAGGCCTCCCCCAAGTAATGCCACAAAGCACGGTCTTGAGCCACCTGCATCCATCGACTTCCTGCATGTCTTACCTGGTCGTCATTCCATCTAGGGGGGGGTCGCCCTACACTACGCCTACCGGTACGAGGCTGCCACTCGAGAACCTTTCTTCCCCATCGGTTATCGGTTCTTCGAGCTATATGGCCGGCCCATTGCCACTTCAGCTTACTAATCCGTTGAGCTATGTCGGTCACTCTGGTTTTACTGCGGATATCCTCATTTCTGAGTCTATCACGCAGTGAAACTCCGAGCATAGCCCTCTCCATAGCTCGCTGAGCGACCTTGAGCGTCCTCATACGGCCAGCGGTGAAGGACCACGTCTCAGATCCGTAAGTCATCACTGGCAACACGCACTGGTTATAACACTTTAGTTTTCAGAGATTGAGGTATACCTGACGAGAAGATGTGTAGTAATTTCCCGAACGCTGCCCAGCCGAGTTGAATCCGTTTATTTTAATGCTAATTATAATGAAGTCGATTGACCTCTAGGTCAATCGACTTCATTATAATTAAAATGAGAACACCATCAATGTATTTGAAGTCATTTATACGCATTATAAAAGATAATTCAGAATCTACGGGTCAAATCTTGATTACATTTATATGGGACCACACAAAAAGCACCAGCTTTCATGTAAAAAAAGAATCATCAAAATCGTTTCACCTAGAGAAAAGTCTGAGGTAACACACATAAAAAAACACAGTATAATTGAATACCTCCTACTTTTTGAAGTCGGTAAAAATATCAACACAACTGTCATTACATATATTATAAATTTACCGTATATATATTGTTTATATATATATATATATGTAATAGTTAAGAGGATTGTGAAGTGCTGATAAGCGGCGCGAGTAGGTAATTTTCAAAAATGCTATCTGTTTCACAGCGCTCTCTCCAAATCGCCGTATCATGCGATAGAAAAAGTTGCAAATCTTAAAAATAATTGCCTACATATTGCTTCGGGCGATAACGTATTGACGGCATTTGTTGTTTTTTGGTCTCATTAGATTCAGTACACCTTGATCTAAGACTGTACGTTTTTCTTTTTTAGTAGAGTCTAGTTTAAATTTTTAAAAAACGGTCAAGGATGTTTTAATTTTAAAAATATAGATATTTAGATGCTAATAATTTACATCGTATGCAATATTTCTTTTAAAAAAAACGTATGGACCTAGTTTTCCATTCTATCTACAACATTTCCAGAAATTATAAAAATTAGACTGTTAACGGGGGAGAGGGAGGAACGTTATAGCTTTTGTATGAAAATTTACAGCTTCATAATCCTCTTGAAATATTATGAAGTAAGCTATAAAATTTAAATCTTAAACCTGCAAGAAAGGTGTTGGTTGTGGCTTCTGCAGAGGACTACTAGGACTCTGAGGAGACGCAGAATCGCATGAGGACCCGCCCGTTGATTGCTGTTTAAGCTGAAATTAAAAACATTGTTCAAAAGTTCTTTCGACATAATTGTATATATGATGACAAGTATAGGTTCTAGAAAACTATTCATGCATAGCAGAACTAATGCAATATTATGTATGAAATGAGGTAACAGATTGAATGATATTATGCTATTTTAAATTTTATTTATATTTGTATTCATAGTTGTGTACAGTTTTTTATGTCACAAAAATATGCATTCTTTTCTAATTTTGTAAACGTCGTAAAAATCGCTATACGGTAAAGAGAACGCATGCGTGGACGGCAATAATTAGCATTTTAAAATGCATAGTAACGCATGCGTGGACCATATTATCTAGCATTTTAAAATTCATAGTACATGAATAATAAGGTGAAGAATATTAAAATATATGAGAACAGTACAATAAATTGTTTATTACCTTGCGTCTAGTTAAAGGGGTACTCTCCACAGACTTGAAATATTTTTCGTGCATGGAATCATCAGATGCATCTTTCCTGGGTGATATGAAGCTGCCACTGCGATTTAATCCTGTAAATAAAGTTTGTTTAGTGACAGTTATAAAATATTTGAGGGTTTGTTTTTTTTTTCTTTTTTAACTCTATTACCGTAACAAATCGTATCGTAAACAAATAATCATCTAGTGTAAAATTACATGGTTTCATTCATTGCCAAACATGTTCCAAGTGAGTGCAAAAAATTTGGGATTTAACTTCATAACAGGATTAGGTTACCACCAGGGTCTTTTTTTTGTGGTGTGGCAAACAAGCACACAGTCCACCTGATAGTAAGTGGTTGCTGTGGCCCATAGACATCAACATCTATCCTCAATTACGAATCAAAATGCAGATGCGTTGTCACCCGTGAGGACTTAAGTGGAATGCCTCCTTTCCAGTAAAAAGGGTCTCCGGTTCTCTACACTCACCACACGAAACACAGCAGCATTAAGCTACTATTTTACGCTGGTGTTCTGTGAGAGCGTGGTCCTTCCCCGGTCGAACCGACCCATTTGTGCTTCAACTCTACTACGAATATAACTGCAGCATGGCTCTACCACGTATAGCATATGTAGGTATATATAGGTATATGTGGTAAGTGCCGTCTTCTTACCTATTGCTGCCAACTAAATTGCAGTACTTTCACTGCTGCATTCCAGTTTCAATGGTATAGGGAGCCCTATTTGTTTGAAGTTGGCTGCACGTGTCCATGGCCTGCAGTAGTGACTTACCTTCACATCGTTAGTTTTCACATAGGTTAGTTTGTCACTACAGTTTAACAAAAGAAAAAAATACAAATTCACAGTGTTGGCAATATAGTTTCAAAAGACCTTTTGAAAAATTCTTGCTCTGGTAAATATTGGCGAAAATTACACTAAACACTTAACTGAAAATTTGCACAGTTTATAAAATTAACTGTTGCAAAATAGTTTAATGGGTGTTCGTCGTCCTCAGACATCATGGCTTCAAAACATTCAATACTTCTCTTTCTCTCTCTCTTTCTCTATCTGCTGTGAAAGCAAGCTAAAAGCCAGATCCGGAACTCTGTCTCATCTAGAGGATGTGTAACAGTTGACTGGCTGAGAGAAACGTCAGATTTTTTTTCTAAATACTACTAGATCGACGATTGTAATATTAAGACAATATTCTATGGATAGTGGTTCAATCAAGGATAATATAATAAATTCTGCAGGAAAGAACATAAAACTATCGTCTTATCCGTTTTCGTAATATACAAAAAAAATTATATTAACCTGAATGCGGTGACCACTTATCGGCCTCATGCGGTTGTGTAGCGCTTGTCCTTTTCCTTAGTTGCGGAGTACACACGGGAACACTGCACGCTACAGCTGTCAGCTCCTGTACAATTATTTTATAAACAATTGAGATAGACTAACTTAAAAGAAGAGCAAAATGTAAATGTCAATGAGAAAGAAAATAAATAAAACATCAGTTTTTTTACAGAATAAGGGTGACAAGCAAATGGACATCTACATTTATCCTAAATTAAGAATCAAAATTCAGATGCGTCATTATTCCTGAGAACTAAGACAGAATACATTGTTATCCGTATAAAGGGGCCCCGGTTCTTCAAACTCACCATATAAAACACAGCATTATTTTGCTGCTCCGCGCTGGTATTCGTTGAGAGTGTAGTCCTAACCCAGACCCTAACTATTCCTGCTGCAGCCATAATATGGCTGCAGCTTGGTTCTACCACGTAATGACTAATATACTGAGTGTTAATTACTAAAATTACTGAGTGTTAGTCAAATAGCGACTGGAGCAGTTCCTTTTTTTAAAGTTAAATTCGATTTTTATCTATTGATTTCCTAAATTTACGCGAATACTACACATTGATTAAAACTACTTTTACGGATTTTATCGCGTTTAATTTGAATTTGAATTATTTTTATTTTTAATTCCCGACGTTTGGGGTGCCTTCCAGCACCCATGGTCACGGGGGACTGAGGTGACTGACGTCCCGATGTCATTGTTAAACCCGGAGTACCTTCAGCTTTTTTAATTATTGTTTATGGTCCGATCTATGCAAAATGAACTGACTATGTCTTGAGGTCTTGCAGGGGTATGCTTGGGTTTAGTTTTAATTTTATTGATTATAGGGTTATTTTGTTAATTTTTATATTTCGCAAAGAAAACAGGTCACGTTTTTGATTATTTGCATTATTTTCTTGAATATTTCAATATTTTGATGAAAAATGTATGCTATGCGTGTAGGCTAGGGATTGAATCAACTAAATCGAAATCATGATAATCAATTTTCACTATGGCGATGATCAACTATGGCGCGCAACACTGCCCCCTCCTAAGACATGCTCGGCCCCAAAATAACGCGCCGGTCGATCCACATGGACGATCTTAGAAGTACCTCTTGCACCTTTCTGAAACGGCTCCGTAACGTCAAGGGCTATCCTCCCCATGGTGTACCATCATTGTACAACTTCAAAGCACCTCTACCTAGGCTGCACTAAAAGTATCGAGAATGGAATATTTCCACTGTTCCTGTCATATTAAAATCTTTTTAATTGAAAACTCCATGGTTTTAAAAATCGAATACCATTTATTTATTTCAAAAAAGATTCTCGATCTTGTCACAAGGTTTTGTCAAACTTGTTTAGTCGTCAAGAACGATGATTTATTATGACTTTCGAAGTGGTTTAACACAAAAACAGTGTGTTGACCGGATGATTTCTGCATTTGGTGATGAAGCCCCATCCAAACCCACAATTTATCGCTGGTTTGCTGAATTTCAACGTGGACGTGTCAAGCTCAGTGATGATTCCCGTCAAGGTCGTCCAAAAACTGCAGTCACCCAAGAAAACGTTGATTCTGTGCGTAAGCTGATTGAGGAAGATCTACATGTGACATACCGCGAAATTCAGGCAACTATAGACATTGGCATGAGTTAAATACAAATAATCTTGCATGAACAATTAGGTGTAAAAAAGTTGTTTTCCCGATGGATACCGCATTCCCTCTGTGAAGAGCAAAAAAGCGGCTCGCGTTACTTGGTGCGGGTGCGTCAGAACTCTCGAAAGATTCCACGCAGGATCCTCAAATGCTGTAGGTATACAATATCGTATCAGGTGACGAATTCTGGATATACGCGTACGAACCCGAAACAAAAAACCAGTCACGAGTTTGGGTGTCCGAAAATGAGTTAAAGCCAACAAAAATTGTTCGTTCACGTAGTGTTGCAAATAAAAATGGTGGCCACGTTTGTCTCCAAAACCGACCATGTTACGACTATTCCTCTTGAGGGACAAAGAACGGTTAATGCAGAATGGTATGCTAGCATTTGTTTGCCACATGTCGTTTCTGAACTCCGTAAAGAAAACTGCAACCGCCGCATCATCCTCCATCACGACAATGCGAGTTCTCACACCGCACACAGAACAAAAGAGTTTAGCTCCGACCTAAGCCCTAATGATTTCTATACTTTCCCTAAAATAAAGAATAACTTGCGTGGACAGAGATTTTCATCACCTGAAGATGCTGTGTACGCTTACAAAACGGCCATTTTGAAGACCCCAACTTCCGAATGGAATGGTTGTTTCAATGATTGGTTATCGTATGGAAAAATGTGTCAAATTTCGCTGAGAATACTTCAAAAAGCAATAAATACATTTTTAAATAGTAATGTTGTGTCACTTCCTTGATTCCCGAAATTTTCAGTGCCACCCTCGTACTACGAGTCTGATTCATAGCCGCAGAACTTGTACATTTGCGACACCAATCCTCGACATCGTCACGACAATGGACCCAGTAAAACCGTTCTCGTATCTTCAGTAGACTTCGTTTAACTCCCAGATGGACTCCTTAACAATCATTATGGTACAGATGTAGAACATCCAGTACTTTAGCTTTAGGGACACAACAATTGTAAATGATGAGCTGTCTCCCCGACCATTTTCCCACTTACCACACTTCTGTGTGGCACAGAACTCCATCCAGAATCAGCAATCTGTCCCATTGGGCCCAATAGCTTTTCGTGGTCGAACTCATCGCTGAGACGTCGCTCCACTTGGGCTTGGGATCACTGGCCTTCATCCATTCCAGAATCGGCTTGATGTCCGAATCTTCTTGCTGTTCATATTGTAGGCTGTCCTTCCACTCGCTGCTGAGGTGATCTGTCCTGAGCATTCTCACAGATACCACTTTCGTACCCTCTTGTCTAGTACAATGCTTGCATTCTTGAGGACAAGGTCTTCTTGACAATGCATCTACGATACCGTAAGATTTCCCGCTACGGTGTTCGATTACGTAAACTCGTATTTCAGCTGCTGCTGGGCGGTGCTGTTAACTGTACAACCCTCTAGAGATCGATCTCCTTCCCTTTTTACAGTTCGCTTAGGGCAGCTGGATCGAAGATGGCCCCTTTCCCCACAGCCGTAGCACCTAGGGCTGTATCCTTTATTGCGGTCGCGAACTGTAGCTGCTGCGAACTCCCTAGCGCGATGGGAACGATGATCCTACCGCTGCTGGGTGGTGCCGTTATCCACACTACACTTTCAAGATCGATCACCCTCCTTCTCTACAGTTCGCTTAGGTCAGCTAGATCGAAGATGGCCCCTTTCCCCACAGCCGTAGCACCTTGGGCGGAAACTTTTATTGCGGTCGCGAACTGTAGCTGCTGCAACCTCCCTAACGTGAGGGGAACGATTATCCTGCTGCTGCTGGGCGGTGCTGACACTACCCCCTCGAGGTCAATCACCTTACCCTTTCCCGTATCTACGGTTCGCTTAGGGCAGCCGGATCGAAGATAACCCGTTTCCCCACAGCCATAGCACCCAGGGCTGTATCTTTTATTGCGGTCGCGAACTGTAGTTGCTGCAACCTCCCTGATTCGATAGGAACGACAATCGTGCCGCACGGCTTCCAACTCCAGTGCATGGCCCTCGGCTCCCTTAATCGTCACGTGGTGCCCGAGCCTCACAGCAGCTCTGACTTCAAGGTCGCGGATGCCGTCGATGAATGTCTGCACCAGGTTCCCTTCAATGAGCGCAGGTACAGACCGGTATTCTTTTCGCACCAGCTTCTCCACCTCTAGAGCCCACTGCTGCAGGTTTTCGTTGATGCGCTGCGCGCGATCTTTAAGCTGCGCACGAAAGACGCGTTCCAGGTGAGCGTTGCCATATCTCGCCTCCAATGCCTCAAGGAGCTGCTCATAAGTCACTTCCTCACCAAGAGCTTCCAGAACAGTTAAGGCCTGGTAGCGCAGGCCTAGTATGACAGCAATCATGGCCTGACTTTTATTACAGACATTCGCCTTCATAACGGCTTCAAACTGGATTTTGTAAGCTGACCAGGAAGAAGTCCCGTCGAACGGTGGCACTTTGAACCCACGTAGCGAAGGTGTAGTAGCTACTACGGGAGCTGTAGTTCCATCCCCCTGTTTGAGGTCGTCCAGCGTTTTCGCCATCACGTTGTCAACCCGATTGTACACTTGGTCGATTGGTTTTAGTTCTTGTTTGGGTTTAGCTTCCAAGGGTGATTTGAGAACCCTATCCTTCACCCCCTTATCTTTCCCAAGGTGAAGGTCCTTCATGAGGAGCATCTGCTCTTCCGACCGACGAGCCTGTTCCGCCTGCTGATCTTTCAACCGACGGGCCTGTTCCTCCTGTCGGCGGGCCTGTTCCTCCTGTCGGCGAGCCTGTTCCTCCTGCTGCTCTTTCAACAGACGGGCCTGTTTCTCTCGTCCGCACTGCAGCTGCTCTTCCAACCGACGGGCCTGCTCCTGCAGCATCACCATCAGAGCACCTAAGTCAGGTGCTGCAGCTGCAGAAGCTACTGACCTACCGGCCTCCGGCCACTCTCGGCTATTTCATCCCACTTCTGACACCAATTGTTACGAGCTTGAGGTTCGTGACAGTAAAAACTGCCGATTGAATTACCAATATTTACACTTTTATTACCGAACACCAATTAAAACTTAAAAGACACTAATAATTAATCACACTGATTTACTTTATTTCGCTCCGAAGCTTCGCTTGTCTCGCCAAATTCAATACTGCCCCGATCGCGACTATCAACTACTTTATATAGGGCTCTTCCACCGAAACATCCAGAATATTCTGGTATATACGGGCGCCGATCCGAACAGACGCAGAAAGTTCGATTGTGGGGCTTCTAGAAAGCTTAATTCTTCTGTTCGATACTAGATGGCGCTGTTGGTCGAAGTTCAAGATTGACATTTTCTAGGAAGCCCTCCTCGATCTGGTCCCCGACACTAGATGGCGCTAGTGCCAGGTACCTGACGTCAACTTAGGCGCGCAACAATACGGATTTCTTTTCAAACTTTGTTCGTAATTGCGACATATAAAAATACGCTGTCGTCACTGCTGTATTTGAATGACCATCCGTAACTTGACCCTTCTAACCTCTTTCAGTATACACATATTGGTCACCAAATAAGACCTATGAAATTGGGGTCGACTCATAGCTATTATCATTTTCTGATTTCTGCATTAACTATTACAAGAAGTTGCAATAAGAGCGATGTATTCTATTAGTACTGGCATCCTCAAAGGTCGACAGCCGGCCGTCAGGAAATTACGATCTAACAGGGCTATCAAACAAAAGGAGCATTCTTTGTCGATGTTTTTCTATATCGATGAACTCTGATAATAATCACTATCGGAATAGAATTTTTTATATTATTATAAATAAAATACTAATAATTTGTTTTAATTATGCCCAAAGTTTATCTGCGTGGTAGACTTCGAAATGCGTATATCCGCATTAGACCCTATTAAATTGGCTGTTCATATAGCTTGAAGAGGAGTTCTCTAGTGGCAGCCTTGTACGTAAGCGAAGTGTAGAGAGGTCCTTCACTAGATGGAGTTACGACCTGGTACGACATGCGGGAAGGTGATGGATACCGTTTTTGTGGCATTTTGTTTAGCAGTGAACTCGTGAAGGGCTGTAATGATGATTGATGTTTTTATTTTATTTATTATATTTAAAAACATTACCTCACATTATGGTTTTTTACTGTATCGTAAAGGTGATTATACATAGATACATATGGTCAATAATTCGGAATAAATATTTATAGACAAGTACTTGTTCCATACAGAAATCTTTTTAACTTTAATCTTTTTAAATTTTCTAAGCTGGCAAGTGGCTACACCAGTTAGTTTACTTGTCATTTTAAAATTATAACAATAAAATCTAGTAAGTTTATTAAAATTTACATGGTAGGAATACTTTTCTACCAAGGAGTTTTCTCTCTTTTCTATACCTGTCGGTAAATAGCAGTGCGTGTAGTGCTCATTTTTGATTTGAAGGGAGAGATCTGATTTGAAGAGATAATGCATCTAGCCTTTCTTGTTTGAAGTTGCCTAAAGGTTTCCATGGACTTCAAAAGCCAGTTACGATCAGGTTGACGGTAAGATCATTCGTCAATTCAGTTTTGTAAAAAAAAAACAATAACAAAAATATTCCAAAATGTTAAACCTAACTAAATGGAGCAAACATTTTGCTTGAGTACTATAAAACTATAATGTAATACACTAAATCTAAAACAAGATTTTATTACAGTAGCATAGTAAGAAGGTGTGAGTAATAACTCAAAATAGTTAAAGTGTTAGTTGCCAACTCAACTACCAAGTGCGAAAACTATGGCAAAATCCCCCCTAGAAGCAATCTGTGGAGAAGGTTTATGTTCAACAGTGGACTTTTAAAGAGTGTAATGGCCATTCCATATCGCTTGAAATATAAAAAAGTTAACAATAATAAAATTTTGAATTGTTTGTGCCGAAAGCAATCACAAATTACAAACCCTACCTGCTTTCGTCTTTGTTGAGCGCTGCTGATACTGCTATCAGACGACCGACCAGAGTCCGTATGACGACAGAGTCCAGTGGATCCATCTTCACTTAGTCTTCCGCGACGACTTTCACCACTATTCCTGCAGAAGATAAAATATTACATTGTATGTGAAAATAAATTTAAGGGAGATAATTAATGAAATTCTCTACATGTAAAAATCAATTGGTATCCGTTAGTCTCTCTAAAACTTTAAAACGGCGCCTAAGATTTTGATGATTTTTTTGTGTGTGTGAATGGGTCCCTAAAAAGTTTAGATTCAGATTAGGATCCGGTAGCGCTGTTATCAAGATCAAAAAATCACGCATATATTTTTGATGTTTACTATTTAGCCATGTAGTAGCACCATAAAAGAATTCACTAACCTATTTTGATCTGTGAGTGGCGTAAGAGGTCACAGAGAGAAATTAAACAGGAGATGGCAACATTATCTTCCTAATAACAACTAAAAAATAATAAGAAAAATATTAAGAAACTATAGTTACCACTAGCCTGCCAAAAGTGGCAGCCATTGCCAAATACCTATTCTTCTATGATGCAGATTTTGGGGGAAGCCTATATTCAGCAGTAGGCTATTGATGGGTTATAGTGAATGAATATTTCTGTTGGACCACAGAATAAATAATGGTTCAAGAAGTTATCTCAAAAATAATAAAATAAATCTCATTATTCTCAATGAGTGAATGTTTGTATTATTAGTTCAAATGTGTTTATGAGGTCAACGACAGTCATCGACAGTTTATGAAATTATTTTTATAATTACAAATGCTATCCATCAGTAACACTGAGTACCTACTAATTCGTAAATGTATCATCATATGTCAAAACTTGAAATAACAAACCATAAAACCTATCTATTTAGGATAGGAACTAATATTTGAAACCACTAAAAACTTAAAAAAACACACACGCACAATAATTCTATGTATATATATTTATTTATTTATGTTTATATACATTTGTAATTACTTAAAGTAACAGTTACAATGTTAGGTGTATCTGTTGACCAATATCAGCAAGTACGAAAAAGAAAAGGATGACACACCAGTAATGTGAAATATTACATAATTCTGAGCTACTTTTGACCCCCATAACTCAAAAACTATTATATTTACATGAATCTTAATTTAGTTAAGAGTGTACCCCCCCCCCCCCCCATCGGGCAAGCTCACGTACCTCCAGAGGTACCACTAATTGGCTATCAATACTCAAATACTGACTAAACAATAAGCGTAATATAGGAATGTTATTACAAACGACAAAATATTTGAGTATTTATAAATCAATTCTGACTTCAATATGATATCAAATACAATCATCAACCAAATCATATTTTTAAAATGCTTGTGACTTTATTTTAGAAAATTCTTGATTTTTAACCTACTTCAAAAGAAGGTTTTTAGAGGAGTTTTTTAAGCACTTATTACCTCAGAACCTTTTTCTAGGTGAACCTATTTTGATGACACTTTTTTTATTTGAAAGCTGATGCGTTCCATGTGGCCCCATATAAATTAGAAAAGTTCTCACCAGTATTTTTTGAGTTATCCTTAATAACACATATAAAATTGACTTTGACTATATTGTTGATGTTCTCATTTTATTTGTATTGAAGTTGGTTGTACTAATTTTTTAATTTTACCACTTGTGAAACAATTTATTCATAGTGTTACATAATACAAAAGAACACAAGGACAATATCTATTGATAGTTGTGGCTTAGTAAAAGTTTAGTACTGCATGAGACTGTCTAACAAACAACATATTGTCCGCGTACTCTATCTTGGCCGGACTGAAGTTGGCTTTTGCACATGTAAAGACGCTAGTTCATAGAGATGTGCCACTTCATATTCACTCCTAACATCGGAAGCATTTTTTTTCTTTATATCAATTATATAAAATGATTATTATAATAAAATATCTTTATGTATTTCAATAAAACAATAGTATATCTAAATCTAATAAAGAATTATGATAAACATTTTGAATCATATTATATTTTGTTAAATATAATGTGTATTGACTGACTGGTAGAGAATTCACCCATTGCATCTTTTTTTTTTTCAATGGAAAGTAATAAAAACAAAAAATATAATAAATTAATGACTGTATTTAAAACAATATGTTGAATTTACCCGCCAATGAACAATAAAAAAACATGTGTGCAGTTAACACGCGATAGAAGTGAAACCTTTAGTAAATTGCGAGAAAAATTGCTTTGTAATAGCGTAAAATCTACTTCATTTAATAGGTAAAGTCAAGTCATTTATCGAACAAAAATTGATTGGTTCAAGGTGGTATGTCAAATACTACTAATTTAATATAAATCGGTAAGTTATAAAATCATGGGTTGTTATGAATGGATTGATTAAGATAATTTTATTCAATATTGTTAATTTTATTTAAGTTCAGTTAATTTTATAAAAGTTCTATTCCTCATTCATCCATGCGGTGCTTTAACGCACAAAGCGGAGACCGAGATAAAAGGAAACTATATAATGTATTCGATCTCATTCTCTCACAGGTTAAATCCTATACATATATTTATATATTTGTTTCTTATTAGTGCTGCTTTCTCGTTTCATCGAGTTTCAAATCACAACGATTCTAAAGTTTTCACTTCAATAAAATATAATATAAAATCGAATCGTAATCAATAAGGATGGTAATCGATTCTACGTAACATTTTTTAATCTGTGGTAGTTGTAACCGCACAATATGCGTGTTAGCATCTCTAGTTTTAGCTGTTGCCCACCCTTCCACACGAAAACTTATTTATTCCTAAAAACTATATCTGCGCAGCCTAGTGCGACTAAATTCAGCCCAGCCAAGTTAGATTGCACGACCAATACAAAAATAAGGCTGATATGATAAGTTACCTATGATGATAGTGTGACCTCCTAGTCCTCACAGGACTTGTTTGTGTTATAGTAATGTTCTTAGCATTGTTGGGTGAAATCTTACTGACACTAGCAGTTGTGCTGTTATTACCATTGCTGCTAATTGGGTCCAGCATTGATGTAACCTTAAATCCAATTTAAAACTTATTAATTCACATTGTTTGATATAAATTTAATATATTAGGTAATAAATATAAAAGAAATAAATCTTAGAAAAATATGTCGAATTCAGTTACTACAAAAAAACTTTTTAACTTTAAATCTGCCTGCAACAGGAAGCACGGGCAACTAACTTTGTCAATGCTTTTTGTTGCTGCCGGTCCCAAGCCCGGAAAAGAGGAGGGAACGGTTCCGCCGGAGAGAGTGGGTGTATCCGGTGGACTAACACACCCACCTGCGCTAGTACCTGCGCAGTTGAGTGCCGTATGCGGGGATGAAGGAGTCCTGGAGGGTTGAGCCGATCGTCACTGGGGTATATAGTGTCGAGAAGCAACACGCCCTCTTTGGTCCGGATTTCAAGCTAAACGGTGGCCTTATCTGCTAGCCACAGATAAGGAAATGGCCAAGCGTCCCGTCAGAGGGTCGCAGGCGAGGGATGTGGGGGCTGCCTAGTCTCCCTGAAAAGGGCTAGGTGGTGGTAAAGGCCATGCTGACGGGGCAAGTGAAAGTCAACTCGGGCAGTGGGGATGGGCCTTTTCAGCCCTATCTGCCAGCTGATCGAGCTCCCGATGTCGCGCTGTGAGCCAACTCTACGTCCCTATATTCCCCCGGTAATCCTAACGCCTGAAATTCTTTTAATAAAGTAGGGCGTTCCCAAAGGAGCGGGCTCCATGGAGGGTGGAAAGCCGGGGGAAAGAATTATTACACATGTCAAAAACTATGGAAAACACAAGGCCATTAGTAGAGAGGGAGAAGTGTCAGAGGTGTTTACCTTAGACACTGATAAACCAGAAGGAACCGCCGTTAAACCGGCCGTTCCACTGACTGTACCACCCAGCGTAGGTGGCCCCACCAAGGGGGCAATTTCCGCGCTGGATGTCTCTAAATCCAGTTCCAAATCCAAGGAGCTGCATGAGAAAAATGAGCAAGGGGCCGCGAGTAGCAAACCTCCTGCAGAGTCCCAAAGGACCGAAGACCTTTTCTCCGCTGCCTGACAAGTGGTGAGCCGTAAGGGGAAGCGCAAGGCACCCAAAATGGTGACTTGCTGACCCGTCGCACCATCAGGTGGGTCTATCCCAGCAGGCAGTAGCGCAAAGGTCAAAAAGAAGAATAAGAAGCAGCGAGAAAAAGGCCGCAGAGAAAGAGCCGCGCTCGCTGCTTCCAAGAGCAAGACTCAGGGAGCTGGGCAAGCTACTGCTACTGCGGTGCTTGGGGCTGGAACCAGTAGTCGTGCTAAAACTGGGAAGGATGAAAATCCAGCCCGAGCAGTAGGCACGGCCGCCGGAACCAGCTCTAAGAAATCCGCCAGGAACCAGAGAGCAGCCAAGCGTCCTGGAAAGAAGGAAAGAGCAGCCAAAAGAAAGCTGGAGGAGTCCACCTCGCCGAGAGGAGAGCACAAAAAAGTGCGACTTGAACAGCAACCAAAGGCTGCAAGAACAAGCTACGCTTCTGCTGCTAAAGCAGATTTGGGTGTGGCCTTAACGTGTGCGCGTTCAGGTCACATAACAAAGGAAGTAGCTGATGACATCCTCGTGGCCATACAGAGGAAGATGATCAGCGAGGCCTGAAGTAACCAGGAGCCTGATGCGTCGGGCCCGGTTTTTAGAGGCAAACCCGTTTACACGGAGGGTGTCCTAAAGCTGTGGTGCGATGACCAGAAGGCTCTGGACTGGTTGAAGGGGAATATTAATACCCTCGACCTGAAATCCAACACCTCGTTGGCTATTAAGAAACAGTCAGAGACACCACAAAGAATCAAATGTGGTATCCTTATCCCTGTTGCCCAAGGTGCCTGGAAGGACTCACGCGACATTGGTCGTGTGCTTGCGTACCAGAACCGCTGGGTAAACATCAAGGACTGGCTACTACTCAAAGCGGACAAACAGACGGACGGGTGGTTCTTCGTTGTTTCGGTGCCGGAGGATCATATCCCGACCCTGATGAAAGCCGGGCGCCGTCTCGCATGTATATGTGGGGCGGTATACGTTAAATTCCAGGCTCGTTGAGGAAAATTCGTTGATTCCCCACCTAACAAAGAGGCAGAAAAGAACTCGGAAGTTATGGATACCGTGGCCATGGTTGCCGGTACATCGAAATCACTGGATGTCAAGTCCAGTGAAAAAACTGCCTGCACAACCAAGCCGAAGCCCCCAGTGGAAACTGAGTGAGGAGCAGCTCACTGAGCGACGAAGAGGACTACATTTTGCCGTCCAATTCCGACTCGGTGGCTAACGATGAGACCCGAGATCTGCTGGCAGGTTTATTTTTAAGCGGGGACGGGGATGACGCGATCGATGATGGCGGGCCCTTCGTCCAAAACTAGCCTAGTGCAGGGCAACCTCCACCACAATGAGACAGCGTCGGCTCAATTACGCAAGTGGTTGGAGGCACAAAGGACGGCCATAGCCCTAATCCAAGAGCCATGCGTTGGGGCTGGTAAAATTAAAGGCCTAAACAACCTAAGAGGTAAGTTATTCTACAACTCTGAGCACGACAAGCCTAGAGCGTGTATTTAATTTATACTACTAAAGATATCTGTGCAAAACCATTAACAGATTTCTGTTCCAGAGACATGTATGCCGTAGCGTTACAAAACACACAGGAGGAAAGGTTAGTCGTCGCCTCGGTCTACATGCCTGAGGAAGACACCCCTCCCCCTCACGACCTCGTCAGGCTGGTGAATTTCTGTGAGAGGGCCGGACTAAAGGTTGTGATCGAGACGGACTCCAACGCGCATCATCCCCTTTGGGGAATGGAAAAACCTAATGAACGAGGTAAGGTTTTAGTTGAATATTTATTTAGCACTAACCTAACCATTTTAAACACTGGTTCTGAACCAACCTTCATAAATAAACGCTGTCGCACAATAATCGACCTCACAGTTGCAACAGAAGGAGCAGCTAAGCTAATAATGGGATGGCATGTGTCGAAAGAGGCCTCATGCTCAGACCACAGATGGATCTGCTGCATACTACAGGTCAATATCCCCGCTATACCACTATGGAAAAATCCCCGCAAGACGGATAAAACAAAATACCTCAATAGGCTGACGTCTTCGCTCGCGGGTGTTGGGGGAACTAATACCATAGCAGATCAATCGCTGCTAGAAGAGCAGGTAGCAGCTGTCACTAAAGCCATGATCGATAGCTACCATGAATCATGTCCAGTAATCACTCCACCAAAACATGCTGAGCAAAAGCAACAGTGGTGGGGTTAGTTCTTTAACTAGACAGAAAACGTAAGAAGGTAAGAAAAGCCCTAAATAGGGCAATGAATACCCCAAAGGATGAAGACTGGAGAAGTGGCTTCTATATAAGAAAGCTAAGTCTAAATACAAAAAATGTATCAGGTATCGACGCTCAACAGGGTAGCGTAAATTCTGTGGTAGCATAGTAACCTGTGAACAAACAAATCGGATAAGGAAAATCCTAGCTAAACAGAACACGCCGGGATCTATCTCTTTAAAGAAACCCGATGGAAGCTACTCAACAACGCCGGATGAAACCCAACGAATCCTAATTGATACTTACTTCCCAGGTTGCTGTGTAGTTGAAAGGGTGAACCGGCATGAAGATGCACTAACACCAACAAAAGAAGACTGGGAATTAGCACAAAGAGTGGTGACGATGGACAAAATTCATTGGGCGATTCATAGTTTCCAACCCTATAAGGCAGCAGGACCTGATGGCTTATTCCTGCCATAATGAGAGCATGTCTGGCTCTTAAATATGTTCCTAGGGGATGGAGGGAAGTGAAAGTCACATTCATACCCTAACCAGGTAAGAATGACTATACAGACCCTAAATCCTACAGACCTTATTAGCTTCACATCCTTTCTTCTAAAGACAATGGAGAGGATGTGTGAACGGGAGTTGAGAGGGTCGGCGCTAATTAACTTACCGCTACACGAAAAACGTGCTGTTTTACCTCGACACTTTGCCTCGACACTTCACCAGGTAATAACAAAGATTGAAGAGGCCATCCAAAACAAAGCAATATGTCTAGGCTCCTTCACAGACATAGAAGGTGCTTTTGACAGAATAAATTTCTCCAGCATAAAAGGTGCCCTAAGTAGACATAATGTTGAACCAGCACTGAATAGTAAACATGCTCATGCTCAACTGGATAGTAAACATGCTCAGTACACGAACAATAAAGATTGCTGGTGAATCCCGCTGGGTGGGGTTCTTTCACCTGTTCACCTCTCCTGTGGAATATGGTCATTAATGAACTCATCAGCAAATTAAACGCTAACCATTTCTACACAGTCGGTTATGCAGATGATCTGACTCTGGTAAGACACCAAGCATTGTGTGCGACCTGACCCAAGCGGCTCTCCGTATTGTGGAGAGATGGTGCAGGGAATATGACATAACCGTTAATCCAAATAAAACGATTATAGTAATGTTCACACAAAAACGAATGCTGAATAACTATCATCTTCCAAGTCTTTTCAGCACAAAACTCCAACTTTCTTCCGAGGTAAAATACCTAGTTCTTACCTTGGACAGTAAACTTAACTGGAACAAATACATAGAAAACAAAATCAGCAAAGCTAGTTTAACTTTCTGGCAATGCAGAAACACGATTGGCAAATGATGGGGTTTAACGCCAAAAATTATACTGTGGCTGTACAAAACTGTAATTCGGCCCCATGATCACATACGGCTCTCTGGTATGGTGGACCAAAACCAATGAAGCCACCACTATACAAAAGCTTCAGCATTACCAGAGATTAGCTTGTATGGCTGCCACGGGCTGCATTAGGACTACACCAACAGTAGCTTTGGAGGCTATGCTGGAGCTAAGACCGCTTCATGTACTTACATACAACAAGAAGCAACTTTAGCTGTCATTAGACTCAAGACCCTAAATCTTTTAAGTAAGAGTAGAGTCCCCCATACAGATATAATCGATAGAATTTACTCAAAAATTCCTATCTTACAAGCCAAGTATGATAGGATAGGAGGAGGAGGAAACAATTTGCATTCAATAAGAAGTACAGGATACAATTGAAGGATAATGACCATCTGGAAGGATTGGGTCCAAGAGAGCTCAAAGTTTTCACGGATGGCTCTAAGACAAATGAAGGTGTGGGGTCTGGGGCTTTCTCTGAAGACCTTAATATCCACATATGCACACCGCTGGGTAGCCACAACACAGCACAGTCTTCCAGGCTGAATGCATGGGTATCATCCAAGCGGCCATAGCAATAGATGATAGGAAGGTGAAAGACTTCTCCATCAGAATACTGACCGACAGTATGGCGGTACTACAAGCTCTGAGTTGCAATGTGACGAACTCGGGACTGATATACGAGTGCCATCAACGATTGAATGAGGTATGTAAGCACAACAATGTGACTCTTCAATGGATCAAGGGATACAGTGGATCTAGAGGCAACGATGCAGCAGATGAACTGGTCAGAAGGGGATCGACCCTGGTAACTATAGGGCCGGAACCAATAATACCAATCCCCTTTGGCTACGTTCCTTCACTGGTAAGTAGATACTTCAATAAATTACACGCTCAGCTTTAGAAAATTTTTGTAGACTGTAGACAAGCTAGGGAGGCCCTACCTGAAATAGTCGTCTAACCAAGGTTCTAATGAGACTGAACAAGCCACAGATCAGGATAATAACAAGTGCTACTTCAGTTCATGGATACCTGCAGCCAACTGCAAACAAATAAAGCTATAGATGTGTTGTTCTTATAAAGCTGCAGTGACAATCGAATTTACAGTCCACCTGATGGTAAGTGGCCACTTCAGGTCATGGACACCTGCAGCCAACTGCAAACAAAGAAAGCTATAGATGTGTTCTTATAAAGCTAATAATAGTAACAAGTGCTATCACAGGACATGGCTCTTTTAACAAACATTTGTTCACCATAGGTGTTACTGACAGCCCCCTGTGCAGGGCATGCATGGGAGAGGAAGAAACGGCGGCTCACGTGTTGGTGACATGTCCAGAAGTCGCTTCATACAGGGCTAAACATCTCGGCACGCCGGGATCGCTCCCCGAAGTTGCTTACAACATCAAGGGACTGCTGAGCTTCTTCGGGGAGATATCATGGCTCGAATAAGCATATTATTCCTGCCCACAGGCAAAATACGCGCTTAGACGTGGAGTTGCGGAAAACAGCTAGTCGTAAACTAAAACAACTACATAAAAAATTACCTGAAGAGCTGCATGATTGGTTTGTGTGGATGTTTCTCTTCTTTTTTGTGGATCAGTGTTTTGTTTTAAGGTTTGTAGTTTAGCTAGAGGTATAATATCGCAGTCTGTGGGCCTATGCCATACAGTTGTCTGAAAATAAAGTTACTATATTTGTATGAGTGGCCACATTGTTTTATCATCTCAAGTAGAAGAAATAAAGTAGTAGAGTACAGTAAAAGCTCTTTATTCTCGGGGTATATGTTCCGTAAATATGCCGCGAATACAGAAACCGTAAATATGGAATGGTAATTTATATGGGATTATAAGAGATACGTTCCTAGGTGACAAAATAAAAAACAAATACATAGAAAAAATCAATTTAATTGAAGTTTATGACCATATTGATTAATTATTATCTTCATGTTAATGCAATGGTTTAAAAAATTTTGTGATTTTTTTCTTGCTTGGCAGTTTTTAAAAGCTCCTTCAATTCAGACTGATATTCAGCAGTGACATTAGCAATTTGCCTCTTAAAAATAACTTTGTTCCATAGATGGATCAATTTTCTTAAAGAAATCACAAAGCTCATTTGCCATTTCCAAACCTTCACTAATATATTCAAATAAAATGTCATGTTTCCAGTGCTAGTTGAAGCCTCTTCTTCAATGGGCTATAAATTTAACATTTCCTCTGAGTCGGTTTCAGTCAAATCTTCATCTTACGATTCAAGCAACACCGGAATGTCACTTGATTCAAAGTCTATTGGAATCACTTCCATTAACATGTATTGGCATCGATGTACTGATTAGATCCGCGAACAAAGACATATTTAGCTGCAAATATAGGAATTCGCTCGCATTTTTTAACCCGCGCATAGTAAAAACGCGAATGAAGGAAGCGCGAATAAAGGGGCTTTTACTGTACTAGAAATGCTATAAACATTGCTTAAATAAAAGGTAACCACTTAAACTTAATATGTTTGTACTTAGAGCTGTTCACAACAGTAGTCAAATGGTGGGGTCAAGTCTTAAAGGTTTTTAGGTTTTGGAGTCGCTTCACCAAATCATTAAGCAACTGTCAGTTTTTGGCAAAAAATTCAACTTATTACATTAACCTCCATGATTGAAATTTAACTAACCTGTGTAGTGGCATTGTAATAATAAAATCTATGGGTGTTAATATCAAATAATTCCCACCATTGGGACGAATCTGTTCGTTTCACTTTGACTCCCTGAAAAAGAGCAAAAATTTATAAAATATTTACAGTATTACCTTACTTATATGTTAAAAATCAAAATTCCACAAGATTTCAAAGTTAATATTAAATATGTTTAAGGTGATCATCTACACTTCTACACTTACAATATAAAGAAGTAAAATTGTCTGTATGTAAGTTTGTTTGTAGAAAGTAATCACCATAGAAATATTAAAAACAGAAGAAGTGGTAAGGGGGCGTGTATGTGTCCGCGCGCTATTATCAAAATGCTCAGCTTCTATACAAATGGCCGTCTCTGCGAATTAGTGCGCTTGCGACCGTCATTGTGAAATATTATCAGAATGCCATGTTGTTCAGTGGTTTCTTGTAAGAACCGAAGCCAAAACAAAAACTTTGTTAATCATGGAATCAGATACCATACCTAAGTACAAGTATTTTATTATATTTATCTTCGAAATCATATCATAAGATATTTCTTTCTCTAACTACGTTATTTTTGTTTCCAAATATCACAGCCAGTGTAATATTTTTGCAGTAAATACATTGCTCCATAACCACTACCCAAGTATGACACCAAGTGATTCAACAAGCAATGTAAATATCACAAAACAATATTTATGCGGATATATTGTGTAGGCTGCTGTATCTTGTGTACAGCTGCTGTATCTTGTGACGAGCTAGTAATGTGCGTGTGCAGATTCACTATCGACAATAAAGTGATTTGGCGAATTGCTATTATAGTTTATTCTCCAATTTATCAACCGTTTCAACCCGATAGGATGACCGATGTGACATAATTTTTTTTACTTATTTAGATTATTTTGCAGCTACCACGCTGAAAGTATAACCAATTTAAAATAATTGTAAATAATAGAAAAAGTATAAAAAATTTAACAAAAAAAATTTTTATAACAAAAGATTACCAAGCAAAACCTGCTTAGTACATGGTGAGGTTAAAAAGTAGTTTAGGATATATGAAAATAATAAATAGTTATTAATAGTACCTCTCGGCTTGCCAAATGATGCTAATTTAAAAAAGGAATGGATTGATGCCACTGAAAGGTCACATGACTTCATTCCCTAAAAAAACTAGTACTGGTCGTCGTAATTTGTATGCGAATGAAAATTATCATAAAAACAGCTTGTCTCGCCAATGATAAATAAGCAATTAAAACTAAAAAAGTCAAACAGAAACTCATGGCAAAGGCTTTGTCAAATTTAATTTTTTTTAATGTTGTTTCACCAATTTGAGCAGTCCCCAATGAATAATCACATTATATTTCTTATAAAAGCAGTCATGGAAAAATACATTAATTTAAGATTACACTATTTGACAAAAATGCCAGCCCAGAAATATAAAAACATCAAGTGCTGCACAAATAGCTAACTTTACAGGTCAGTGAGTAAGCACTATAGCATGGTTCCAAAATACCTACTACTTCAATCCGCTATGATAACCTAAACCAACATAATGGGATTTTTACTGTTTTTATTTATTTTATATTTAGGGCCCAAAAAATTTTAGTACAATTTTTGTTTAAATGAAACAATCGATAACTTTCCAATATTAGATTGTAAAATAAATGGTTTTTTCACAGCACAACGGTAGTGCCCGATATTTTTGTGTGAGTAAGTAGTACGGTGAATAGTAATTGGATGTTGTGGTTTTAGAGATATGGTTTATAATTAATTGTGTAGTATGTTATGAATGTATGTATGCGTGACTGACGGACTAACGTATCTATTGCTTTTACTGATCTGTTTGTGTAGTAGTTGGCGTGTGGTAGGGGCCAACTGGAGACACCGGGTTCCGATACATTTTCAACTACTGGGCATATCTCTTTCATTATTATATCTATGGTAATCACTGAAAATGATTATTTAATATAAAATTCTCTTACTAAACTTTTTTTGAAATTTTTCTTAGAAAACTAAATGATTCATGTGGTATCCATGTTGCAGCTATATTATAGTTATAGCACAAATGGGTCAGTTACACTAGGGAAGGATCACACTCTCACAGAGTATCAGCATAAAATAGCAGTTTAATGCGGCTGTGTTTCTTATGGTGAGTGTAGTGAACTGGAACCCCTTTTTACTGGAAATGAGGCATTCTATCTTAGTCCACACATCTGCAGTTTGATTCTTACTTGAGGATAAGTATAAGTGTGTCTATGGGCCACTGCATCCACTTTTCATTAGGTGAACTGTGTGCTTTGTTACCCTTAATCTATAAAAAATATTAAAAAATTATTCCACGTTTTTTGATTTATAATTAGTTTTCAGTATGATATCAGTATAATTCTAAAAATAGAATTGGAGAAAATATACCACACTTGCAATAAACAACATGATATATAATCCATTTAGGACACAATGTCTTGCAAAATAACTTTTGTTTAATATTAACAAATTATTTAAATTATAATAATTAAAACAAGTACATATTTTTAAGTAATTCGTAATATTTGAACAAAAAATTAAATTTATTTCGTTTTACCAGAATTTTTTCTTCTGCTAGTTTTTTTTTTCTTAATTTAAGGTCTTAAATTATCTTGAATTGCTAAATAATTTAAAATGTTACATAATAGTTCTTTTTTATGCGATGCATAAAAGATTTTATTCCTTAAAATTGCAAAATGTTTAAAATTGTAAACAATAGTTTTCCTGCGTTCTATTTTGCTAGGTTATTAATGTAAACTTATATAAACGTATGTGTTGATGTATTATTCCTATTTTTTACACAGATCTTATAACATCTTTTGTAAGGCAACGCTTTACCTCTGGTGGATCCCAAACACATTCGCCAGTAGTTAGGTTAGCATACATATGCTCCTTTGTCTTAGGCTCAATTATTTCCACCCATTCGACCCTGGAATAAAACATCACGAAACTTTCAACTTTACGTCCGGAACATAAACCCTCAGCAACAAATACAAATTCGGGGCGTGACATTAGCTATTTCCGTATACTTTATTGATTTTGCAACTTTCAACTGTTATCGGAAGCAATTTATAATTAATTTATGAATTCGCGTTAATCAATTACCTTTCTGAAGACATTTTCGAAACAATAAATAGTACCGCTTTGTAATTTATTTATTCATTATAAACGAATAATTTATTGTTTTAATCTAAATTGCAATCGACAGTAACGAAAAATCATCCATGTTGAGTGTTTACTTCACTTTACAGTCAGTCAGTGTTGCCAGATTTTTTTCACCTTCTCCCCTAGATTTTTCCAAAAAACCCCTAGTTTTCCTATGTAGGGGAATAAAAAACCTCTGAATTATTATTCGGTCAAGTTTCGTGTGAATCAGACTTATCAAAAATAAAAAGTTTCTACTACATATACAAGCTACGTAATTAGACCATTCAACTCAATGGACGAGTAATGCACCTAATGCTACGAACAAAAAAGTCTGTCACTTTTGGTGCGGGGGAAAGAAACACTACATAGACAGTACTGCACACCTCTAAATAAAATTTTGTGTCACTAAGGCACACACAAATCTAAATCTCCAACACTATTACATTTTATGCACACATGTAGATTAAATACTTCAATATAGAAAAAGTTATGAGTATAAGACAAACAAATTAATTGCTATACTACCATATCGAAATTTTGTATCTATAATGAATTGTCGGCATTGTCTGTTTTGAAAAAAGAATTCGTAAATTGGTGAGACTAGTGAAAAACCTTCAGAAAAACCTCTAGATTAATTTCGTGATATTAAAACCTCTAAAAAACCTCAACGTCCTCCAAAAACCCCTAGATTGAGGAAAAACATCTAGATCTGGCAACACTGCATTCAGTTCACACTTCACAGACAAAAATGAGAAGATGAGCATTGGCATAGACTATATATGATAGGTTTATGATACAAAGATAATGAATAAGCCACAGATACGATTCTCATTGCTACGTTCCTTGAATTATAGAATAATAAAAAAAGGGAGATCAGATACGTCGTAGAGAGTAACTGTGTTTTGTGGACACGTACGCTACAACAACGAGGCATACGGGTTGACAAAAAAGATTATAAGATATAAGACAATCACTTATGCAATTTTCATTGTCTAATACGGACTTTCTTGTATCTTTTTGACGTCGCACATTCGATTTGGAATTCCAATTATATATATGACTTATTATATTTATGATTTTGAGTAATTAAAATTGTAAAATAATTATTAAAACAGGCTGGGGCAACCATGATTACGTAGCAAAAATCGTATAATTTTTTAACCACTGCCGAAGCTCATAAGTTTTCTATGTTTTTTCAGAAACAATAGCTACATAAGGGATTTCCGAACCCTCAAGGACCCAAATATACGATCCCCTAACACTGACTCAATTAGAGATACATCAGAACAACTGAAATAACTTTTGTTTGCCCAGCTTAGTCGTTCCTAAGTAATTTTTAAAACTGAGATCTGAAGAGCAAAGAAAGGGTGACAAAGAGACACTGTATACCCGATAGTAAGTGAATGTTGTGGCTTATAGGTATGATAGCTTGGCATGCTCAGCAGAGTGAGACAATATTTCAAGCCGGCACATCACTTGCAACAAAGTGTAAGTTGGGCCTCACATGGAATACTGTTCTCATCTCTGGTCTGGGGCACCCCAGCGCCAGCTCCTTCCACTTGACCGCATCCAGCGCTAAGCGGTTCGAATCGTCAACAATCGAGTTCATTCTGATCGGCTCGATTCACTGGTGCTGCGTAGGGATGTTGCATCCCTTTGCATTTTCTATCGCATCTACCACGGGGTGTGTTCTGAGAAATTGTTAGGATTAGTTCCAGGCGCCAAATTTCACGAACATACACCGCGTCAAAATTCACGATACCATCCTCACCATCTGGATGTTTGGCGGCCCACCACTGTTACTAAGAGTTTTCCTCCTCGTACAACCTCTCTGTGGAATTGTTTACCACCGGCGATTTTCCCGGGCCGATACGACTTAGGGACATCCAAGAAAAGAGCTTCCTCCTTTCTAACAGACCGGCAACGCACGTGTTGCGGTTGTTCATGGGCGGCGGTAGTCACTTCCCATCAGGTGATCAGTATGCTCGTTTGCCCACTCTCCTATAAAAAAAAACTGTACTAACGTTGGCACTCCCTCAAAGGTTGGCACTTTGCTGTTTTAATCTACCAATACCAACAACACACATTTTATATTTAAACCGTCAACTAACAACTCATCCTATAATGGCCCTTTTTAAAAACGTGTTTGAAAAAATCAGTTAAGAATTAATAAAAAGTTAAGGTTTTGTGGCTAGATTTTGAAAGAAAATAAAGACTTTTAGTAAAGTTTATATGCAAGTTTTTAACTACTTTTATCAATTTATCTTATGAAAGAATATTAAGACGAAATAGTATCGTGGTCGCGTAGATTTTAATGGGGTGAAGCAGTCGCGGGTGGGCGATCGGCGCGCGAGTTCTGTGTCTGGGTGGGTGCTAGCAATATTCCGTTTATCTACTCATGTGACAATAGCGACGAGTAGGGATGGGCAAGTGAAAAACTATATAGATATATATCTTATCGATATATTTAAACAGTATTGATATAATATTACGTGATGAATACCGATATATCGTCATGTCTAGCATAATGTAGTACAATAAAGCACAAAATGTTATAACTAGATGGTTGGATGGCGAAAAAAAAACGACAACGACACCTGAATGTTTTTGTAGCTTCTTTTGTTTCTTAATGTTTTGTCGATTAATAAAACATCTTTAAATATATCGAAATTAATAGGAATTCGATACTCCACGATAAATATTGAACATCGATATATCGCGATTTATAAATATCCACCACTGACCTCCATATATACAAGTAATATGAAGCGATTTTATTTGTGCCCTTTTGGCGCTTACAACAGAAGTGGACGTCCACGGAACCAATAATAAGGATAAGACAGTGTGACAAAATATATCGCTTCTATGGATAGATGGCCTCTGCTCGTAACGTCCATTCTATTTGGGTATCATATTAATATAAAGCCGTTATCATTCATCATCATTAAAACCCTTCACAAGTCCCCTGCTTAACATAGGCCTCCACAAGGAATGCCATAAAGCACGGTCCTGAGCCACCTGCATCCATCAATTCCTGTATGTCTTACCAGGTTGTAACTCCATCTAGTGGGGGACGTCCTACACTTCATCTGCCGGTGCGAGGCACTCGAGAACCCTTCTTCCCCATCGGCTATCGGTTTTTCGATATATATGGCCAGTCCGTTGCCACTTCAGCTTACTAATCAGTTGGACGATGTCGGTTACTTTAGTTTTACTGCGGATATCCTCATTTCTAAGTTTATCGCGCGGGAAAACCCTGAGCATAACCCTCTTCATAGTCCGCTGCCCACTGAGCAACTTCGGGCTTCCTCATACAGCCAGCAGTGAAGGACCACGTCTCAGATCCATAGGTCATCACTGGCAACACGCACTGGTTCTAATCTAGTTCTGAGGTATGCCTAACGAGATGATGTGTTGTAATCTCCCGAACGGTGCCCAGCCGAGTTTGATCCGTTGATTGACCTCTCGGTCGAAGTTGAACTTACCTAGTCGGACTGTTTGTCCCAGGTGAACATTCATAACGATGATCATGCTACATATTATCACAGACTTAGAAATAGGACAAACCTTCTTTTGAAGTGACATTCTGTTCCTGGTAGCATCTTGTGTTCCGACCTATATACGAAATTTATACTGATAAACAACAATCACATTTGCCATGGTTTGCTACTAATAAAAAAGAAAAGAAAAATAAAGGTACCAACATAAAAAAGAAAAACTCTTCCCAGGCTCTCAATATCGGGCAGCTCCATGTATTCTAGAGGCAGCATCGTACCGCCTTCTATGGTTTCAAGATGAACATCCGGATCATCTTAGTCAGTGCACATTGCACAAGCTCCTAAGCTTTCCAACTTCAGCAGCGCCATGTATTCTGGGGGGCTTAATAACGATGACCAGAATTTGTAAATAAGAAAGAAACTAAAGTAGGGCTACTACGAAGTTAAAGCACAAATTAAATCTCGAGAGTCGAGAGAGAATTAAATCTCTAGACTCGCATTTACTAAATATTAAACCCCCATCGTGTTTTACCTGATGAAACGCTTTCATGCACATCCGCGGCTCCACCAGCGCCAGCACCCAATGGCAACTCCTCCTTAGTTGCCGACTTCTCCTCCCCGTTTTATTTCCCAGATAAGGCGCACCAGAAACACAAGGCACACTGCCCTTCGCGGCCTCTAACTCCCCCTGCAGTACGGACTCCCGGAGCCCGATATTTTTTTTATAGGAGCAAACGAGCAGTCAGTCAGCCAGGCAAGCGAGTTGTCAGTTGATTATTCTTGTAACCTTTCCCTTATTTCTTACATTTTCAAAAAAAATGTCTGGAGAAAAAAAGAAAACGTAGCCCAAATTGGTTACCTTTGGAAAAGAGTTTGATGTTTGGACTCACAGAAAAACATTTTCGTGTCATTGAAAATAAAAAAAACAGACGGTGTTACGATGAAGCAAAAATTTGCCGAATGGCAAGTTATATCCCACGAATACAATAGCCAAACGACACACTACTCGCGTACAGCTGAAAATATAAAAAATGAATGGAGTATATGAAAAAAAGGCCAAAAAGGAAGAGTCATACAGGAGGATGCATAGAATCCAAACAGGTTAGTTTTTATCCTGCCTTATCAATGTTTGTGTTGATCCAGTTTTTTAGGCAAAACCTATAAATCTTTGCTATACATTAGAAATATGGACAGGAGTAACTATGAGCTTATAACTGGAGGAGCAGCGTAGTGAGATATGCCTAGATACATTTATATAGTGTTAGCTGAGAACATGCATATCCCAAAGATCTTTAGGTGTTCAATGTACCATTATTATTAAGCACTTGATGACCGCAGCATTGTCTGCGGTCTTATCAAGTGATTTATTTCCTTCGTCTCCTACATACTGGGATTATTATTTATAGTTGAAATATTTTGAAAATGTGAGAAATGGCATGCTTTAAATACTTTTACATTAATCATTTTGTACTACTTTAAGTGGACGACCAGCAAATCCAATGAAAGAAGATCCTCTAGATTCCAAAATCATATTGTTAATTAATACAAGTGCTGTTGGGCTTTTCAACCATTTTGACAGTGACAGTGTTGCCCCAGATAGCATAGAAAGCGTAGACAGAGAAACCTATAGACAAATTGACGCCTTCTTTCGCATTCGCACACGAAAAAGATAGATTTATGCATACGTCTTGCATAGAAATGAGATAGAGCGGTGTGATTGTTTGTCCCTTTCTCCGTGCCGGTTTTTTTTGTCAAACTGAGTTTGCTAAACAACTTTGACAGCGTAGCGATTTAAGGAGTTTACAAGTTGGTTTAAGTGAGAAAAAAGTGTTTAGTGAGCTTAAGATTGGTGAATCTTGTTTAGTTCAGTTCTTAGAACAATTAAATTTTTTTTGTATTAATGTGTTTAAAAGTCATAAAGATTATTCTATAACCTAAAAATTCGTTATCGTTCTTTCTCACTCGAGGCCACGCCAATCATTGGTCTATAGGTTTCTCTGTCTACGATAGAAAGGCATAATTTTGCTGAGGCTCAAATTATTTTGCCTGAGCAGCCAGAATTATGTAATAAAGGTTAGTATCTTACAGTTTAGTTAAGGACCCTAGAGAAACCATACAATATGAAATTTGTATACATTGATGAAATTCAAAAGGCTGGGATCGACTCGAACAAAGGATTAATGCAGGTAAATTAGTAACACATTTCTGTAGCCCTATACCAGGGGTCGGTAACGTTTTAAGTCGGAAGAGCCAAAAATTACAATTAACAAAATTTCAAAGTTTTTAAAAAGCCACAATTTTTTTCTTGCCAACCATAAATAGTACTTGCATAAATAAAGTTTTTTTGATAAAAAAACATCTGTTTATTCATAAGAAAAATATATATTTATCCATTATATAAAAGTAGTGTTTTTTCACAACAAATTAGAATCTAATTTCTATTATTATTATCTATTTATTTGATTATATATGTAATATATAATCAAATAGATATATTAATAAAAAATTAAAATAATGAAATATTTACATATTTACATTGTGAGTCTTACAACACTAACTTGTACTTCAATAACACACAATTGAGCAAACAAATTCAATGGAAGCTTCGGCTTTGCATGGTTATTCAAGTAGAATATTTAAACTTTATTCTATAACGTAACTTGTACTTAAAAATAAAAAAGCGATAACATACTTTGAGCAAATAAATTCAATGAGAGCGTTAGCTCTGTATAGTTTTAAAAAATTTGGATTAATTTGGCTTATAACTCATTGTTTTAAGTTTCAAACACGACTCGAAATTATCATTTGTTAGTTGGCTTCTTACCTTACTTTTAGTGATACGAGGTCGGCACTGAAAATTTCGGGAATCAAGGAAGTGACACAACATTACTATTTAAAAATGTATTTATTGCTTTTCGAAGTATTCTCCGCGAAATTTGACACATTTTTCCATACGATGGAACCAATCATTGAAGCAACCATTCCATTCGGAAGTTGGGGTCTCCAAAATGGCCGTTTTGTAGGCGTCCACAGCTTCTTCAGGTGATGAAAATCTCTGCCCACGCAATTTATTCTTTATTTTAGGGAAAGTATAGAAATCATTAGGGCTTAGATCGGGGCTGTACGGCGGATGGTCTAATAATTCTATGTTTTCTTGCTCTAAAAACTCTTTTGTTCTGTGTGCGATGTGAGAACTCGCATTGTCGTGATGGAGGATGATGCGGCGGTTGCAGTTCTCTTTACGGAGTTCAAAAACGACCTGTGGCATACAAATGCTAGCATACCATCCTGCATTAACCGTTCTTTGTCCTTCAAGAGGAATAGTCGTAACATGGCCGGTTTTGGAGACAAACGTGGCCACCATTTTTTTTGCAACACTCCGTGAACGAACAATTTTTGTTGGCTTTAATTCATTTTCGAACACCTACACACCCCACATTCGTGACTGGTTTTTTGTTTCGGGTTCGTACGCGTATATCCCGAATTCGTCACCTGATACGATGTTGTATACAGTATTTGAGGATCCTGCGTGGAATCTTTCGAGAGTTTTGACGCACCAAGTAACGCGAGCCGCATTTTGCTCTTCACAGAGCGAATGTGGTACCCATCGGGAAAACAACTTTTTTAAGGTCAGTTAGGGTAAGAGGAACATACTTTACTTTGAGCCCGAGGTTTTGAGCTCTAGGAAGAGCATATAACGTTTTATGACAATTTGATATACATTAAACTTGCCTTAGTTTATCAACTTTTCATGTTTTAAGAATCATAACGCTAATTTGAAAACCTACGACAGTATCGGCCAAAAACATTTAACTTGTACTAACGTTCGTCTTCCCCCTCATATGGGGTAAGAGGAACATTCATCGTATCTCCTAAGATTATGATGTTTATTTAAATGTACCTGCTGCTACATTTTAAGTAATACTTATTTTATAGAATTTGATCGTAACGTAATTGTAACAAGGTACAGTTTTGAAGAAAATGAAAATATTAAATTTAGGGTTAGAGAAACATATATTTGTAAACATAAGTTCCAGTCAGGGGTAACAAACTAAAAAAATAATCGTTTGTATTTCAAATTATAATTTTATTCCTACTCCTAATTCAATAAACTTCAATAAATTAACAATTATACATTGTAAAGAGATCAATATTTCGAATGAGCATATTTCTTATTAAAACAAGTTGCAAAAATAGAAAAAAAATATTACAAAAACTACTGTACGCTGTTTTTTATAAATATTTAAGAAAAATATACTAAATCTTCTTCATGTGAAAGAAGAAACTCGTTGGAGTTTTTAGGATCTTGAAGCAGGTGAACTTTCTTAACTATAGACAATTCCGGAACAGTATCACGATCTACTTTTTTTAGTAAGTTTAAATTTCAATGGATTTTTGTAAGTTTTGTAGAACCTTATTTCATAAGTTACGACACTGCAACTAGGATGTGGAGATATTATATTAGTTATATAGCCAATATAATATGTCCATTTATTTCTAGTGTAGTACCTGACCATCACATTGTTGTTAATTGCATAATTCATTTCCTTACGTCCTTCCTTCTCTATTTTCTCATCCCAGTTGCTATCAACTGCTTCTGCCGCCATTTTCCTTTCTTCTGATCCGTTAACTACTTCTGTCGCCTTTTTTCTTCCATTTGTTATATTACTAATAACTGACTCTGCCTGTATTGTCCTTATTCCTGATCCAATAACAGTCTCTGTTACTTTGTTTTTTTCATCTGCAATGTTATTATTTGTTCAAGGTCTGGAATAAAGTTTATGTAACCTAAATTTCTAATAATGTCAAAGTCTTCCTCAGGTAAATCTGAGTCCTCATCAATTAAGTCTACAATATCAGAATCATCGTGCAAGCTGACGCAATCGGATACGCTGGTAGATGAAGATCTTTTTCTGTATTTTTTTCTTTGCACGAAATTTCACATTCTTCATATTTTCCTTCAAACTTACTTGACTTTTTTTTCCAGTGTCTTTACCGATTTTACAAATTGTAACTGACATTTTATTATTTTTGTTTATTGCCGTTTCAAATTTGTCTTTGTTTTTTATCTTTCTATTAAGACCTGATGGTCCCGGTATACTGTTGTATTTATTCTCACTATCCCCTTCTTTTGCTTGTATCTGTTTTTCTCGCTGTACTTTTTTTTCTTCTTGTTTTTGTAACTTTTGTTGTTTTTCTGCTTCCATTACTTTACATCTTTCATACGCTTCGTCGTGGGTGATAACTTCCGCGCCAGCCGCTACTTTCTTCCTTTTTGCTATAAATGATAATTTTTCCGGTTTAACAGACCTTAGGAGCAACTGTTCAAATGTAATATTGGTAATTACAGGTTGGTTATCAATAATCTGAACCTTTGAACGTTGTTGAACATTGGTGATGTTTGCCAATGGTGCGTCTTTTCCTTGACTCCGTTTATTCAAAACATCATTTATTGAAATGGGACAGACATTTTCTAAAGAGATTGTATGCATTGAAATATGTTGAGGAGCTACTTGTGCCTCAAATAATATTTTATTAACAGAAGCTAGTGCTATTTTTCTAAGTTTACCAGGTTTTTTAATAGGTTGATCTACTGAGGTTTTTGGTCTTTCGCTCATCTCTTCGTTCGTCTTCTTCGTCAGTTTCGCAGATCTTTTCCATTCAGCTAATAGAATTGGATCAAATTTATTTTCAGGGATGGCATTTTTATTTAACGGATATATTCCAGCTTTACGGAAACCTGCCGCACATACAAGGGGATTGATATGACCCCACACTTGTCCTGTAATTCTTGAGAAATCTTTATTTGGCAAAACTTTGCCAAAGTGCAATCTTTGCCACTTTACTAATTCGACGTCCCCTTTATCCTTAAAAGATTTGTTCACGGCAATATCTAATGGCTGTAAATTGTCGCTTGTATGAGGTGGGATTTTCATAATTGTTATCTTTTCCTCTCGTGCTTTTTGTATGATGTTAATACCCAAAGTGTGTAGAGTGACCGTCATAAAGTAAGAGGATAGGTGTTTCTCGTGGAAAAAAAATCTTTTGAATAAAATTTTCAAATACTGACGACTCCATCCAGCCATTTGAAGTTGCAGCATATCGAGTTCCGGGGTACCCATCTTCTGACGTCCATGTGTCCCAAACGCTTTTCCCTTTAAACACGATTAGCGGCGGCGCTTTTTTACCTGCAGCATTGCACGCTAAAAGTACTGTAGTATTAGTCTTTCCTGGAGATAAAGATGGTTCTAGTTGACATGTAGCCCCGGAGTCCTACTACTTTTGATCTGCTCGGGTCTTTACTAAAACTAGTTTCATCAGCATTCCAGATATGTGACGGTTTATCACGTAAACCTAAATCATCAATTGTTTTCGCCAGTAAATCAAAATAAGGATAAATTACAGCAGGGTTGCATGCTTTTTTTACGTGCATATTCTACCGGCTGTGGTGTTTTGACGGAAAGATCATGTCTTTTTTTGAAAGCAAGGAACCAATCCTCTCCTGGAGTACCGTTCTTGAACGGGGTTTCGATATTGTTTTCGACCACATATTGACCAACGACTTCAAGCACTTCCTTGCGAGGCAAACCAAAACCATACTTCTCCATTATATGGAGATTTTCTGCAAGTGTTTTCTCTACATCCATAGATAATGCTGTAGGTCTACCTAAACTGTTTGATTTGAGACCTTTTCGCTTATAGACGCGGTTCACTATTGTTGGTCTCGGTACGCCGTACAATTTTGAGGCGACATATGCAGATAATGTGCCATTTTTTACTGCCTCAACAGCATCTTTCAATTGTTCTTGAGTATAGGCACCTCTATTAGATTTTCTTATATAGAGTTTCGGCATTTTTCAGTTTTTCTAAAAAAAATAGCCAATAATAAGTACTAGATAATATACAATATTTAGTTGGTTAGATAGTTATAGGTGGAGACTCAAATCCGTGCCACTTTACACATTTAAGAAATAAAGAGCCGTGTCAGCTCAGGGACTAAGCGCACGCTGTAAATTTCACAGTACGCGGGAAACCTGGGTTCGATCCCCGCCACTAATTACTCGGCACAAATGAAATTATTAATTGCAATATTAAGTGCTGATTTACCACGTGATCGGCGGTGAAGCAAAACATTGTGAAGAAACCTGCATGTCTGATAAATAAGAATAAAATATTTCAAAGTCATGTGAAGTTTGCCAACACGCATTGGAGCAGCATTGTAGACATTTCCTTGCCCTAAAACCCTTTAAGAAATGAGAGAAGGCCTGTGCCCAGGAGTGGGACGTATTTTTAGAGGCTGTAACTATTTTACAATAATAATAATAATAAAAATAAAAATGTTTTATTTTTCAGGCAAAATAGGTCCATAACATGTTAGTAACAGAAAATAAAACTTAAGAATTAATGTTAGTAAATAACACAAGACAGAAATATAAAAACTTTATGAAATAATCGTACTAAAATATCCGCAATTACCTACTCGTACATTTAAAATTTTCGTATTTTATCAAATCGACTCCCAAAAAATTTATTTCTCTATAATTACATTTTGTCTTTGTTATTTAAAACTATTAAAACATCATAATGTTTATCACCCCTGATATCGGCGAAGAGGAACATACTGTTTCTCTTACCCTGTAAGTACCGTTTCTCTTACCCCACAATGTTTTTGGAGGTTAAGATTTTAAATTCGATGAAACTTATATTAATTGTAGGTTTTAATCTAAAATATCAAACAAAAAGTAAAGCTTACCCTTTTGTGTTAGAATTTTTTTATGGAAATAATCTCTAACAGTAAAATTTTCACAATTTTTGAGCGAATAAAAGTTATGTAGCCAACTCGTGTTCTTAGACTTTATAACTGTCAAATTGTTCTTCTTTTTTTTTCGACTTTGGAACATCGTAGCGACATCTTTTAGCAACCGTTTGTTTTTTTTTACTTTACTTATTTATCTACTAATATACCATAGAGCTAAACTCTATAGCTTATGAGTTATGAAGTTGTGTTCCTCTTTCACCGGTGAGTGTTCTGTGGGTGTTCCTCTTATGTCGCCTCTACACGTTGGCCAACACAGTGGCGAATGGAGTGGCGAATATATTGGCCGAGAGTTGGTGACGGCGTCCACACGTTGGAAGGTCGTTCAGTTTACTTCAGTTCGGGCCAATGTGCGGACGAATTTATAAGCACCGTGGCGCAGTGGCTCAGCAATGAGTGGCTGCGCCGGGCGCCGTGGGTTTGATCCCGCACGGAACAAGTATTTGTATGTCCTACAAATAATTGTTTCGGGTCCGAATGTGTGTCCTTGTGCAATTTATGTTTGTAAACTGCCTGCGCGATGCGGGAGTAAATCCTAGTGTGGGGTTAACGTTTTTATAAAAGAATTATAAAATAATAGTGGATATTAGTGGAGCTGTAAATAGATATACGATCTACGATTAGCTTTATTTATTCTTTACATGCATCATACTGGGGGAACTGGAATAAATACCATTAATAAGAACTTAACTTATTTTAAAGTTAAAGGAGTTATAATCGATTAGTTTATGTTTTAAAATTGTGTTTTGATTTTAAAGTTTAGCAAAATATGTACTTGCATTTCTATCAGACATTTGATGTATATAAAAAACACCTTATAATTTATTTGGTAATTTAATTATTTTTTGAGAAAGATAAAAACAATAGCAATAAATATAATTAACACTGACTTAATAATAGGTACTAATTATAACTTAGAACATAAATGAAAAACTGAGAGCAAAGTGGCTCAGAACCATGCTTTGCGGCAGTCTGTTGAGGAGGTTGTTCAGTAGTGGACTTGTGAACAGCTGTAATGATGATGATGATGATTTGAAATCTTGCACGATAAGAAATCGACGTTTTTTTATAGGATAGGGTGACAAACGAGCACACAGTTCACCTGATGGTAAGTGGTTGCTGTGGCCCACAGACATCTACGTCTATCCTCGATTACGAGTCAAAATGCAGATGCGTTATCACCCGTGGGGTGTAAGATGAAATGCCTCGTTTCCTTTAAAAAGGGTCTCTGGTTCTCTAGACACACTATACGAAACACAGCATCATTAAGCTACTATTTTACGCCGATATTCTGTGAGAGCCTGGTCCTTAACCGGTCGAGCCGACCTTCGTGCTGCAACTATACTTCTAATATAATTGCATGGTTCTACCACGTATAAACGACGTGCTTCATTTTTTTTCATTTTAAAATTGTTCTCGTAATAATCTGATTGTGAAAAAACGCTAATTTTTTTTAATAAATAGCTTATTGATTAAAACAAATGTTCAATAATAATTAAAACGCGCTAATTAAATTAGTAGGAATGTTTAAAGTTGAAATTGGCACTAAAAGGCTGGTAATTGGGGCATTCACCCTACAAAGCTTGAATATAAAATTTAAATCAGATGCGTCTAATCACTCTGGGAGCTTGTAGCAAACTAAACGCTCCATTTGCTCCATTGTGCTGAGGACGTATGCTCCAGAGTTGGCACCGGTTTTAACGCATCTTTTCCGGTACTCATACTCCATAAGCTTAGTACCAAAATCATGGAAGATGGCTTTCGTCCACCCGATCCCTAAAAAAGGCGACCGCTCAGGCCTGTCCAACTACCGGCCTATCGCCATCACCTCCTTGTTCTCCAAAACAATGGAGTCCATTGTAAACTGCCAGCTCATGAGGTACCTTGAGGATCACCAGCTGATTAGTGATCGCCAATACGGTTTTCGCCGTGGTCGGTCAGCTGGTGATCTTCTGGTCTACCTAACTCACAGATGGTTGGAGGCAGTAGTGTCCAAAACCCGTAACATTCATTGCTATGCAGATAACAGCACTGGTGATGCTCTTTACACCGGCCGTGCCAATATTTCTCGGGAAAACGTCTCCGAGTACCAGGACAAACTTGTGTCTGAAGTCAAGTCTTTGCTGAACAGAGTCTCGGAGTGGGGGCGACTAAATCTAGTCCAGTTTAACCCCCAGAAGACACAAGTTTGCGCGTTAACCGCTAAAAAGAACCCCTTTGTCGTATCTCTTCAGTTTCAAGGCACTCCCCTTGTTGCCTCAGCCAGTATCGGAATCCTCGGCGTCGACATATCGAGTGACGTGCAGTTTCGTGGTCACTTGGAAGAGAAGGCCAAATTGGCCTCTAAAAAGCTTGGCGTGCTCAGCAGAGCGGGACAGTATTTCATGCCGGCACACCGCCTGCAACTTTACAAGGCGCAGGCTCGGCCGCATATGGAATACTGTTCCCATCTCTGGGCAGGGGCTCCCCAGTACCAGCTCCTTCCACATGACCGCATCCAGCGCAGAGCGGCTCGAATCGTCGACGACCGGGTGCTTTCCGATCGGCTCGATTCACTGTCGCTGCGAAGAGATGTCATCTCTTTGCATTTTCTTTCGCATATACCATGGGGAGTGCTCTGAGGAATTGTTCGGATTAATCCTAGCCGCCAAATTTCGTGAACGCACTACGCGGCAAACGTTCCGATACCATCCACACCATCTGGATACTTGGCAGTCCACCATTGTACGTTTCAAAAGGAGTTTTTTTCCCGCGTACAACCTCGCTGTGGAATAGTTTACCACCGGCGATCTTTTCGGAGCGATACGACCTGGGGACCTTCAAGAAAAGAGCTTACTCCTTTCTAAAGGGCCGGCAACGCACCTGCAATTCCCCTGGTGTTGCGGTTGATCATGGGCGGCGGTAGTCACTTAACATTAGGCGAGCCGCATGCTCGTTTGCCCCCTCTTCTATAAAAAAATACAGAAATTCTCGATATCGTAGGGTTAATATTAAAAAGTAAAAGGACTCAATAATAATACAAGTCGATCTTTAGGTATAAAGATGGTATTTGCACTTAGTATTATTACGATACTATATACTACAAACTATAAAATAATGGTACAGTTAGGATAATTATACTACGAAATCCGACCCTGGTTACGTCGTGTTATGATATGACGTTTGTATTATGACAGATGAGCTACTTTTTCTTGTATGAAAAAGTTATGAGTAAAATATTTAGATGGGCCTATCCTTCCTTTTGAAATCATTGCATCTACCAAAATATTGGAAAGTAAATAGACCTGTCAAATTCATTCTGTAGAT